AAGATCGGACCGATTTTTCGTTTTTGTTTCGCCGCTTGTGAGAGAAGAGGCCCCCTAGTAAATTTCTGAGAAAATATGAGATCACTGGAAGACTTTCCGTTCGAGATGATGGCCGACGGGGAGACGGGGCGTGTCAAAAAGTTACAAACGAGAGCTTCCAGTGAGCCTGCTTCATACACTGGCGGATCTATCATTGATTGGTTGATGCCAGCGGACACAATGGTACGGTATTTATCGTACGGACCATATCTGGGCAGGCAGAGTAAATCTCTATGTACCTGTATTACAGAACATTCACCCCTAGGGGCCGGCATTCAACGGAAATAATTATGGGGAGAAAACCTCACAACAAACAACTTGCTGAAGCTGCGGGACCACATACAGCAGCTTCTAAATATTTGAAGTACTTTAACAAACAAACCGCAATCCTCTGCCGTTGAGAAATACATGTGGCCCATCAAAGCCTGCTGTTGTATCTATAAGATGCATATATATGCATGATGATGAAAAGTGATGCGCGGAACATGTAGATGAACACGAACTGATGAAGGTGCATGGTGTGCGTATATGAGTCATGATCGCTGTGCTTCTGTGCTTCTTCAGTGCGGCGCGAGAGAGAAAGATGGTTCATCGCGAGAGAGAACTGACTTGTGTCCTGTTGTTTCGCTGGCAGTTGGAAAAACACCGAGAACAAAAAAGAGGGGAAAGCGGGTTCAGTAATAGTGTATGAGGGGGGTATGCATGACCACGACCGGGATGTGGACGGAGGGGGGGTAACCGGGAGGTGAAATTTAACGTTACCTAGATAGAGCTCTCACACCAGCGCACAGCAGGTGTAGTAACAGGTGTGTGGTGTTTGCACTCTGATTCCGCCCGTGGACGCACACGTCTGACGACAGTAACATCTATCAGCTGTCGCTCGTTGTAGGACAGACAGCTAGTATATCTTTTCTGCAGGATTTTTGTCTTACGTGTAGAGATGATGTCGGCCGTCGAGACGTTCCGCTGACTCACTGAACTGAAGGTGGTTCTCCAACCACTTTCTGTACAGAGGGGATCCCTGTTCAAATGCCGATAAAATGTGCCCAGAAAATTCACCATCAATACCGTTCCAATGCCGGCATGTAGTGACAATGACTTGGAACTTCATCGTCAGTGTGTGCCCGACGAAAACACCGACACTATACCGGGCATTGGCACTATTCAAACGGCACTAACAGTAGACACGATTGATTCCGAAGTACAAAATGAAAAAATCAACGCGAACCCGGAAAGTGTACGTCAGTACGACATTCGGCCCAGGACCAGAGTTCGGGTCTCAAAAAATTGAGCACCACTGCTACCATTGCCGTGCTCGATGCATGCCAAAATAAATTCAGTCTACAGAACTTGTGCCCTTTGTTTGGTATCGCCGGCGAGTGAGCCCAATTGGTGTTTCTTGCTCTTTCATCAATAGTCTTCTACCTTCACCGCGATTTCTTGACTACCATGTTGTAAGGATATACAAGTACGGAGGATGTTTGTAAAAATAAGACCACACTGCTGTGTGCGTTTTCACTCCAGGTAGAGTCGAACCCGTGACCGAGGGCCAGAAGCTTTTTGGGGGGTTACCACAGCTACAAATGTAGCTGCTGTAACTGCTGTTTGTTGGCGTGGTCGGGCTAAAGGGAAAAAGAAAAGTGAATGAATATTCAAGCGCCGACACGCAAGGCCGATCGATGCGTTCGGTGCGGAAACAATGCGGGATGATATCGCCATCATGTCGATGGAGGTAGGGTGTCCAATAACGTGCCGCACGTGTTCGGACGTTGACCACGTGGTGGTAAGGGGACGGCGTCAAAACTCCTACCAAATGCTGGGAGAAAGGAGAAATAAATGGCTTTGTTCAGGCGCAGGCCGGAGCGTGCGTGTCTGGTTCGAAAACATTGTACGGAAGAGAGATCCATCCGCAAACGACATCTTACGGCCACGGCACGAGACATCAACACACGCAGCAGAAGAAACATCAACGGACAACCACCCAGATCGTCCGCTACCCTGTACACGTCAACGCACATCGAACCAGACACGCCACACCTGACCTACGACAGTGACTGACCCCCCCCCCGCCACCAGACTGCAAGCACCCCTTCGTGGGGCGGTGTACTCATTGCGCTTGTCGTGTCAGCCAAACACCGAAGCGAAAAAAAATAACCCATTGGAATCAGACGGCCTACCTCAAGTCTCCAAGTTCTAGCTGGCACCAGTCACAGGAAAACTCAACTCTTTCAATCGCTGCTTGTCCCGCTCGTTCTTCTAGTAGAAAATCCAGTAAAGTGGAAGAAATACACTCTTCGACTGAAGTACGGCGGAACTCCCAAACCCACCATGCCTAGCAAAGAACCGTGACCATTCCATGGTGTTTGAGCCAGCCGGCTGTAATTCTGATGCGTCCGCTCCTAGATGCCACGGTTTAGTCTCAGGAGGAGACCCACAGAAAAGTATCCGCTGGTATTTGAACCTAACAACGAAAAACGCCTGCCTGATAACGACAAAATTGCACGTGTGTTTGCACCACCCGATAAAACAGCTCCAAATAAAATTACCGGTGATTTCCCCAAATAAAAAATAAAGCACAAAAAATTTCACGAACCGCTGTCCAACCGCGGACACACACCAGAAGACCTGAAAGCTGGCGAAACATCATACGTACTGATCAATCAGGGCAACGAATCGACCAATTCATTTCGGATACCCGAACTTCCGATCACGGGTCCTCGAGGCCCCCTCGGTGAGCGGTGTCTCCTCGACCACAATCGTCGTCTAAGCAGAGGTTATTTCCCAGCACCCAACGAAGCAAACGTACCAACGTTCCACTAACCCCTACCCTATCTCCAAAAATTAACGTCACAATATTCACACCCGCCACCTGTGGAACTAGTTCGTGGCTTCAAAGCTTCAACCGCAAGCCACAGCACACAGTGTGAGAGCTCAAGATAGCGTGCCGTACAATGCCCCACCCTGCGCTGCTACGAGTGCATTCTGTCTAGGCTTTCAGCCAATGGACTACAAAACCAAAGCGAAGGCCAGCCAACAGAAACGCCACACAACGTCCGTCTTCGCATTCTACTGTAGCATTCGCAACTCATTCTGTCGGGAACGAGCACCTTACCCTAACGCTGACCCTAACCCGAGAGTCAATCAGCAACGGGAATGCTCGCCAGAAGGCCCGCGAAATCGATAGATGCAACGTTTCTCGGGAACACACACAGATGCCGACATATGGCTTCGCCGCGTTGGGGTGCACGGCGTAATGCTACTCTGTCGCAAACTCCACGCATGCTGGCTGCACTTGCCGGAAGCGAGGCGGTGTAGCTCTGGATACACCTTATGCATGCACAGACGCCCTGTGTTCTTCTGTGGCAAGCGATCCCCCGTAGCTAGTACTCTGCCTCGTGCATGTGCGCCGTGCGCTTTTGTCCCATCTATTCCGGCGCTAGCCTACACCTCCCGCTACACATTGAACGAATCAGCCGGGGTCATCATCACATACCACGGCGGTGCTCCCATTTTTGCCACTCTCTAACGGCTGATTGGCTAACTAATCAACACCCACGTACGAAGCCGATCAAAAGCCGACTGTGGCAATACTATCGCTCTCACCGGGAAACCGCATCTGACCCACTCGTCCACCTGCTCCGAGCGGAATGCCTTTCGCCGCTTTCGCGGTTCACTTCATTCCCATTCCCGCGGATGACGTTAGCATGCATCGAATACAACCTTATTCCCATGGAACTTAACCCTCAGCCCCAGCCACCGCTGCCCAGATTCCAAGGTAAACGATGCACTCGATAGCACCCCGTTCAGCAGGACGAGTCCGACCAATTAGACCTCTTGGCAATCAAGTCGTGCGGCAGTCCAATCGCTATACCGTACCGCATCCCACGAGTCCAGCCCCATCCGGTCCAACATCGTCGAGGCACTCCTCCCCCCAAAGTTCCGTTTCACCTAGCCTCATGAAACCGAAACTCCACACCGCACTCGCACACGTAACGGAGTAAATAAAAAATCTTCACGGCTCACCCTGCAAGCTCAGCTTCACCTCCCTGGCTTGCCCTTTCTCCCGGTGAGTCGACGGAAGAACCCGCCCACGCCACCTCTCTGCCAACACCAAAGGATAGGGTTAGCACAAAAACACACGACAAAAGCAGGAGGACTCAGACACGGAGCGAAAGAGAAAAATGCGTCAGCCAAGTACACAGTGTTCGGCGAGGTAGGCCAAACGGAAAGCACCACACACAGCAGTATTGGCGTACGCCGAGATACGGATAGCTTCACCAGTAAAAATGGGGTACTCGAACCTCCCGAAGCTCGCTTTTCTTGTTCGTTTTCGGTTGTATTGGAGCATAGGTGCAGCAGTAGTCTATCGAAAAAGGTGTTCCTGGTACAACGGGGTTCTTCTTACTTTAATTGAATTCAAAGGAATTAATTAGCACTACATCAAGGCTTATTGAAAATACTCGCAACTCTCGAAGCACTGCATACTCTAGATTCCCCAACCAGGTAATAATCGTGATCAAGGGAAGGTACGTCATTGGAAGAAACCACATGATCCAGATTAATATGTCTAAACGAGCACGAAAAAGTGATGTTCTTTATGGGATAAGAAGTTCAACCCACAGGGAATTTGTCTAGGTTTTGGGTCGGGATGGGGTGGAAAATCATAGTAAGTCGAAGACATCGCATCCTCAGGTTCGTACCTCTTAACTTCTGAAGCAATGGCACCGTCTGTATGGAGGCATCTATGGGCACATGCATGCGCCAAGGGACTGGTCCTCAACGAGGGAGTGTACGGAGAACTTCATTCCCTACCTTTTTTTCCGTGGGCGGCGGGGAATATGGACGCCGAACGAAGCCACCGAACCCGTCCGGAATGAACACCTCGCTACCCTCGACGTATGGGTCACTAGCCCCACCCCCCTGTGGGTACATTTGCAGGGCCACAGGCATTGGCGGCGGTGCTAGGTCCGGGTTGTACCCTTTCTCTCCTGGGTAGTAGCCCCGGCTGTCGGCGATCTGATTAACGGGGGACGGGACAAGGGTGTCGGTTTCGGCACCGTAAACTGCAGCGGTGCGCGCGGTCCAGGAGAAGAAGATGATACCCCGCCCGTCGTGCTGTCGGATGCCACGCGTAGGACGAAAACTATAGCTCTAACCCTGATCCAATTTCACTGACGTGGTTACAGACTGATACAGCGGAAGACATGAGAGGGAAAAGCTGCAACAGGGGTCTACGTTCACCCGTTCAAAACGTTAAGAGCGAAACAAGAAAGCGAAGGCAGCGAGGGTAGCGGTTGTTCCAAAGCGGTGGCATGGATGTTGCGCATCAAACGCAATTGCCGAACCACGGCCGGATGGCAACAAAAACGATTCTGGCACCCTCATGACCAACAGCGAAACTACCGCCAACACACGAGACACACCAGAGCTCTGGCCGTACGTCAAGTGCTCAACAAGGTATAGACGCATTGGGCAATCGGCACGAAGCACATCTGACAGCACCCACCCTGACTGGCCTCAGCACCTCACCATCACCAACACCCTTCGGCATAACATTGATGCTGCTAGCGGTGACGGCCAAATAGATACCAACGACAACGACAACGTACGACGATGACAAACTTCTAGTCATCTTCTACAGCGATGACACCGCCTAAGCGTCCATGCGGACGACGACAACACTACCCAGAACAACCGCACACGACAGAATCAACCAAACGCAACAGCCCCAAGATGGCATCTCCAATAAAACGTGGATACGTTCCAGACCAAAACCGGGCAGAATGATTAGGCCCACACGGCTGCGTGGTATCTTGGGTTCTCTTCTTGGCTGTGGTCGAGTCTGAGCAGGGACGGGCTCTGGTTTCCTTTTGTACCTTTTGCCTCAGGCCTCTCTTGTGTTAGGTGAAGCTACGGAATTAGTTGATCTGCAAGTCAATATTTTCACCACTACTCGGACTCTCTTCACTTTTGGGTGCGCACCCTATTCGGGATTGCCTGTGTCGGCCAGGCATTGTGCCTTCATCTTGAAGCGTACGGAAATGGAGGTGCTGAACAAAAGGGGTACGTTCTCCTTTTCATGAAAAATAACAGCAACAAAAGCAATACCACAACAACAACAGCGACGCGAACAACGTGAACAACAGCAACTGATTCGAACAACTTCAACACTGCTGTCAAGGCCTGCAATACACAGTCTCATCGCACCGGTTGTGGTGAACCTTGCTCTTGAGCAGAGTACCCGTAGCCCCCTCCTTCTGCCCCGTACTGCATCGACGCCGATCCTGCCTCTTGACCCCCGCTCGCCACATTCCCTCCGCCTCCATACCCAATCCGTTCGGGCCAATACCCTTCCGAAGGTGCAACGTTACCGCCCTGATACTGCTGCTCTTGCTGCTGCTGCGGCGGCGGCGGCGGTGGCGGCGGTGGCTGCCGTTGCTGCTGTCGCTGCTGCTGCTGAAGCTGCCCTGCGAAATGCGATACAAAGGATGGGGTCGTCAGTGGCAACAACAATGCTATAAGGAAGCGTCACTCTGTCGATTCTTCACGGTGATCCCTGGCTGAGCGTACACCATACAATAGTACGGTGGGCCGATCAACGCACAATTAACTTTCCCGAAATATCTGCTACATAGAGGTCAGGGACCATCCCAAAGAGGTTAGAATGTTGAGGGGGATGACGGCGTTGTTATCCTCCGAACGTTCTTTGGAAGATACTCGAGGAACCTTTTCACAACCCTGCGAGGGTTAGGCGGGTGAACCCTCAAATATTGGGAAAAGCAAAGTTGGCGTGCTTCTAGTATTTCAGCTGCTATCCAGGACGTTTGAAGCAGTGCAAATTCCGCGCGCCACGGAGCGCGTGATGCCCGTTCCAGCATCCCCAGGAGGAAAGTGACACATGGCGCGTGCATCCATTTCCCCATTTTCATGTACGGTGGTCCGAGCCCGGCTATCGTCTCAATGGTGCCAACACTTCTGTGCTAGGTTGTGGAGACACGCGAACATGACAACTAATAACAAACGTATGTGCTGGGACCTCGGGGCGATCGAAAAGTGGCAAACTGCTCGCACCTGCAGATGCCCGTTCAGCCCCCGCAGGCGACGCGATCCTTCCACCCCCCATGGCCGGAGCCGGCGCACCGTTGTCCGGCGAAGCAGCACCACCGGTGGTGACGTCAGCGTTGGAGTCTTCAAGTAGGGAAGACCCGAAAGGGAGGTACGGCGACGATGGCGATTGCGATGATGATGGCAGTGGCGATAGGCTAGGCTCGCGCTTGACCGGCGAAGGCAGTGGCTTCTTGGCCTTGGTCTTGATGATTTGGGCCTCTGCACGCGGCACCGGCGCGCTGGGGCAGAACGAAGGAGTGGCCGCCGACGGGGGATTAAAACCAGTGAGAGGGAGAGATAGCGCGAGATACAGACAGAGAGATCAGACAGGTAGGCAGGCAGAAAGACAGACAGACAGACAGACAGACAGACAAACAAACAGAGTGCGCTCAGATGGTTCAACCAGTCTAAAGAGCCACGAGAAAACAGGTTAGGTGCATCACACCAAGAGCATAATTGAGTATGCACAAGCGCAGCGTTCGGTGCAAGTAGAAACTGAACTTGACTTCCAAATGGAATCGCTGGTTTCATCTTTCATCGGTGCTTGGAGCAGCCCTGGGTCTGATGTTTTGGGTATTGGCGTCGTTCTGACAGCGGTACAGTCCCGGTGCGGTTTTCTACTTTGCCTATTGTAGGCGTAAACTGAAAAAAATCAGCTGACGATTGGCTTTCAAGCTCAACACACAAGCCAGGCACAAACATACTGTATAACACCCCTCGCCCCCCTCGATAGACCCAGCAACAAGGTAACGATAACACAATAACGGTGTCTAGTGACGAGGAAACGTGTCAAATCGGCGGAATGGTCAACGATCCTCCGAGAGACTTGAGACTGCTAAAGTTGGGCACAGACAAACACCCTTGAGTTGTGTGTGCGGTGCGGAGCACTTGGGAACTGTCTAGTCGGGCAAGGAGAATAATCTAATTGACACAGTGTGTCTCTCGCACTCACTTTCTGCCGCCTCCAAACCCGGTGGCGATGACGGTTACGGCCATGTCGTCCCCCATGTTGTCGTCCACCAGCGCGCCGAAGATTATGTTGGCGTTGGGATCCACGTTGGCGTAGATCACCTCCGCCGCCGCGTTAATCTGTCGAAAAGTATTCGGAGGAAATTGATCGTAGCCACCCACGATTTCAATGAAAACCGCGAAGAGAGACATCCTACTCGTGAAACTGCAGTATTGCAGCGGTGACGCACCATGATAGGTAACGATCGTGACCTGCCATCACGATGTAACACCCAAACAGGAAGAACGGTTATGAGCGCTGGCACTGTAACTCGGTCTTGTATTCGGAGTGATCGGAGTCAACGCGATCCGATGTGAGGATACATGACTCCAACGCTCCAACCTCGGCGCTCACCCATCCATGTCGAACACGTCAAAGAGGGAAATTTGTCCTCTACCTCTATCTACGGCTAGAGATAGGTATGTAATGTTTCTGCAACAATAGCCCGCGCGTTTGACACTTCTCTCGCTGACGCTCACAATACGTTTGCGTTTTATGCACCCCATTCCGTCTACCACAACACATGCACCCATCAGCAACCAACATGTTCCTGCCTACTCAAAGGTTACACAGCGGGAAACTGGAAAAAATTATGCCTGTCTGCTTGAGCTTGACTCGCTACCATCATCACATCAAATCACTTCCACAAGACCACTCTCGATTGTCCCACCTCCTGCAGGCTCATGTCGTTGCCGCCAAGAACGTTGAAAACGATGCCCTGGGCTCCCGTGATGGGTACATCCAACAGGGCCGACATGATCGCCCCCTCCGCGCTCTCCTTTGCTCGGTTCTTGCCACTACCTCTACCGATACCCATCATGGCCGTGCCAGCCTCCCCCATGACAGACCTAAGGAAGCGTGTTTCGAAGGCAAAGCAAACGTCATATGTCGTGCCGCATCGTGTTCTGGTAGGCAGCACCAAAGCACCCACATAGGTAGCTCTTGCTTCTCCAAGGTATGGGAGGCGGCACAATAGAGGCGCTTCGCAATATTATCGAGGCCAGATGGGCAACGCATTCTTCCACGACGTGCGTCGCTGTTAAATAAAACGAGGCTATCGTTTTCATTTGATTGGTAGAGCCCTTCTTTGCTTCGCCAGGCCATGGGCGGGGCTGGCGTGATGGTTTGGGACACAAAATGATACCCGAGGGTTGCGAAGGTGGTTATTGGGGTCATACACCCTTGAGGTTTTACGGTCTTGCGGTCTTGCGTCCCTACGTTCCTACCTCACGTCCGCGAAGTCGACGTTGATCAGTCCCGGCTTGACGATGATGTCCGAGATACCCACCACACCCTTTAGACAGCGGTGGTATGCAAACAATCGTTCACGATGATGATATCCCACGAAAGAGTCCAGGATACACGCGAAGAGCGACAGCATTTCGGCAGGCGCAACACCAACGTCAGTACACCGTGGGCAGCAACTAATCATCTAAACATGTAGCGGCAACGTCAGCACGACCCGACACGTAAGACACAACGCCGTGGCTATGCAAACAACGGCAAGGGCGATAGGGCACCATTGGCATAGTCAACAGGCGGCACGCAGCAGCAGCAGCTACAGCTACATCACCACACAACACACAAGGCCACAACTATTGTACCAACACCAGCACTCACACACACCGAAAAAATACATCGATCCCGGCCACCCCAAACACTACAACCAAAGAGTCAACCCCATGAAAAACAGCTGCCAATTGAGCTTGAGCTGCCAATGTTGCCACAACGAACCCACCAACAAGAGGTCAACTATCGCTCCGAGCCGTACTCAACACCGTCCTTTATGTGTTTCGCTTTTCCTCGATTCGTATCTACCTGTCGGAGGACGTCGTCCGCAACCTTGAAGGCGTGTTCCACCGGCGTGTCTGCAGGGATGATCTTCAACAGCTGGTCGTTGTTCACCACGATGAGGGTGTCGACGGCCTCTTCCAGCTCCGCGATAGCCTGCTCAACACCAATACGTACCCAAAACCGACGTCACCCACTACCACAAAGTGCCTTCATGGACACAGCAGGGGTCAAACACGGCAGGTAGGGGTGTACAACGATATGGATCCACCGCCAATTCATCCTGCACTCTTCTTTCCATGGATAGAGATGAGTTATACTTATGGAAGTACTCCGAAGTATAGTTTTCGGCGAGAAGAAGCAAAATGAAACAAGCTTACCTGGTTCGCCTGCGCCATTCGTCTCCGTCCCTCGAAGCTGAACGGCTTCGTCACCACACCAACAGTAAGCGCCCCGGCCTCCTTCGCCACCTCGGCTACCACCGGCGCGGCTCCCGATCCTGAGACCAACAACGAACACAACCAGCATCGAAACGTTGTTCGAAACGACACTTTGGCGGAAAAGGAAGACCCCACGGGCAAACAAAGTATGCCAAGGACCGTTGTAACAGCCGTGGCCCCTGCTGTGTGGAATAGTACCAACAACGGGTCCGTGCGTGTCGCTCAGCCAGCTGGCGACCATGGGGGCCACCCGAGCCTAGACCTCGGATAACCCAAACCACAAGAATGGAGAAAAAATGACGCACAGGCGTATACAGGATTGAAATGGGATCAACAACACGAACGCAGCAAGGTGTGGCTTTGCTCAACACGAGGATGCCTCAGGCTGAACTGAGGATTGGTCCAAACGCCATGACTAAAAACACCACCCCCGTAATGGTATGCAACGAGGACAGGGAGGAACCAGTAGAACATAGATGGAAGTGGGGGATCGAGGAGATTGCAGTAGTGGACCAGTACAGATACCTCGGAGTAGAGATCGCAAACGACTGCTCGTGGAATGCACACATGTCCAAGGTAGCGGAAAAGGGCATAGCACGAGGAGGGAAGCTGCACACAATACTCGCAAACCGGCACCTCGATACACGCATCAAATTGGCGGTTTTGAAGAGCGTAATCGTACCGCCGCTAGAGTACGCCGGAGAAGTATGGGAAGGAAATAAGAAGGTAGTGAAAGAACTCGAGGCGGCGCAGATGAAAGCAGCGAAAATCATCCTAGGATGCTCCAAGCGCACAAGTAATGCAGCCGTAAGGGCAGAATTGGGGATCCAATCCCTACGGTCGGGAAGAGACGCAAGGAAGCAGACATGGCAGTATCGCATGTGCGGGATGGGAGAGGAGAGGTTGCCGAGAATAGTATGGGAGGCGAAGTGGGCAAACAAAAAGAGGGGTAGACAACCCACGGAATGGGTCAAGGTTGTAGAGGACGTATGGAAGGGGTTGGACATCGACGAAGATGAAACGCTGGAAACGGAGGGTCTACAGGGGTTCAAGGAGAAGATATCTGTTGCTTGTGCCGAGAGAGAAGAACAGAACCTAAGGAAAGAAAACAAGGATAAGGAGGGTCTAGAAGTGTACGGAATGTTGAAAGAAGGAATAGGGTTCAAGGATTACCTACATGGACCAATGGGTGCAGGGACAAAGCTTAAGGTCAAATTCAGGACCGGGGACATAGGCCTTCGAGAACGTCGACGAAGACATAGGACGGTAGACGACGAACACGACAAGTTCAAATGTGATTGCGGCTTCGAATGCGAAGACCGTGTTCATGTAGTCGCGGAATGTCCGTGGTACGAAGAGGAGAGGGAAGCGTACATGACTGAGCTGGGAAAAATACAAGGGACGTACAGGGAGATGTTTGAGGCATGGAATAGAGAGGAGAGGACGGTAGCTGTACTGGGGAGTAGGAAGTGGTTTGAGAAGGCGGGAAGGGATATCGTTAGGATAGACAGACTAGGGAAGACATTTTTGAGCCACCTTTGGCAAAGTAGGAAGGAACGATTGGCCATCGGTGATCGGTCCTGTGGGAACAATGTTCCGTCCTCTCGAGGACGCGTGGTCAATGGTCTAACCGCTAAGGCATGCAAAACATAAGAGCACGCCCCCCCGCCCCCCCCGTCGTTGAAGTAGTTACGTCACGAATCCACCCCCGCGGCGAATGTCTCGGGACCCCCGAAACGACTTCCGGTATTCAAATGAGATGCCCACGGCTGGCACCGGCACTTTCACCACTACCACGGGAATGCATAGTACCACCGCCTAGGAGCTGAGAGGAAGCTTACGACAGCCACCCACGCTGTCTCAAGAGCATCGCTAAATCCCTGGCACATCGGCGGCGGGCAAAGCCGACTGCCCGAAAACGCCTCCTAGCTGTCCACACAAAACGTGAGATACTCATCAAGCACATGAAGCCAAATTAAAGCTACGTTCGTCAAGTGATTCACACCCCAACAACCAGACTCCCCTTCGTCAGAAGAACGGGAACACACACACCTGTCCCGCCGCCCATCCCCGCAGTAACGAAAACAAGGTCCGTCCCCTCGACGATCTCTTGGATCTGCTGGCGGCTCTCGTCTGCTGCCCGCCTCCCGATATCCGGAACTCCCCCAGCGCCGAGGCCACGCGTAATCGTATTGCCGATAGTCATTGTGCGGGCTCCGTACACGCGGCCAAGCGCCTGCGAAAAGAGAGGTCACCCCAAAGTAAAGGGCGATAGCATTGCCCACGTAGGAGCACCAACAAGAGTCAAGCTAGCGTTTGCAGTTGGTTCGAGGAGGCGTTGTACGCTTGAAGACGAGCAGATCGAAGGCCCAAAGCTACGGTAGACTTGATTGGCATCAACTGCCGTGAGGAGAGAGCAGCCGAGCCAGCTAGCCTACCGAACGGCTATGTCTGGCATAGACGTGACATGCACGCGGACTAGTCAACGTCCCACAAGATCACGGTAGGAGGTGGAAGGGTGGTGGTGACTCGGCCTATCCCCGTGGTGTGAAAACTTTACCCAGTTTGAACACGTTCATCGCGAAACGTTGTCACTAACAACACAACACAACGGCAGAAATCAAATAAAAAAACACAATGCTGCCACCACTAGCAGCACCAACGCCAAAAGAAGCAGCAACATCAACATCAACAGCAACAAACAACAACAGCACCTGCACGTCGGTGTTGAGCGACCAGAAGTCAACGCCCTCGATCTCGGACTCCATCATTCGCTTCACGGCGTTGCTTCCCCCGCCGCCTACGCCGATCACCTATTGTTACCAATAACAGGTGTCCAGCACGCAAACAAGGCCGAGAAGAAACAATCAACACGTACAATCATCATCTACAGATAGTGTCAAAATCGACATGGAGTGGTCTCGCCAGGGGCTTCGAGATGGGGGGGCGCTCAGCATGCTGGTCTGTTGTAGCTGTAGAGGAGGGGGGCGAAGGACAATTTGTGTCCTCCGATCGTAAAGCTCGTGGTCGACGGAGGGTGTTTAGATTGTTCGGGAAAGGCTACACAGCTGTGTGTTCGGGAACTCGGCCACAGAATCAACGACGAAGTATATGCAGGCAGCAGACGCTCGGGTTGACCGGGGGAGCGCGAAAGCGGGTAGGAGAAGAAGGAGGCACAAGGGTTGAGTGCTTTGTACTGCTATGTACATGCCGTGGAGATGGAGGATGCATAGTGACCTAGCGACCTCCTGAGGATAGGTGCAGCACCAGCCTTGGGACAAGGTCTATTATTGCGTGGTTGTTCCGCTTGCAACGGGCAACATGGAAGCGGCAGCGATCGAGCAGGAGGGGTAAGAGCGCCCGGCGGCACTAGGGACACCCGTTCCCTTGCCGTTGGCGTGTCTGTTGCTACGAAGTATGTCACTGCTGTTGCTGTTGGACGAAACGCTGGTATCGTTCGCCCGAACTTCATCATGGCGTCCCCAACCAACCGGTGCTGCAGTTGGTCGCAATACCCCCAGCTGCACATGTTTGGAGAGGGCGCCGTTACAAGAACATAGTACCATGCTGTACCTGCGTGCGTCCGAAGGCGAGCTTTCGACTTTTTAGCACAGCACCATCACGGGAGGGTAGCATGGCGTGTTGGATATCCATCTGTCATGCCGCCTCTACGTAAACGACGAGCGTGAGTCTCTCTCTCCCTCTCTCTCCCTCTCTCTCTCTCTCTCTCTCTGCATATTTTTCTACTACTGTGGGGGGCCTTCTATAGTGCCGGGGCGTGTCCCAAGATTTTACGATTTTTCCTACCGGCACTTTACCGGGCACTGGAACTATTGAGAGTACATAACGACTTGGTATTTCAGTGTGTGCCAGCCGAAAACACCGACACCATTCCGCGCGCCAGCACTAATGAGGGCCCCCCACTTACGTATCTGCATTTTTCTCCCTTCTCCGTCTGCTGCTCTCTCCTTTCTGAGCTGGGCGCGGGGTGCATACCGTACAGCAGTAGTGTCGCGGAGCTTCTGCTACCTCGTCCTACTGTTAAACGTCTATGAGATAGGAGCGCTTGCTCCTATCATAAGGAGTGCCATCAGGGTTGGGGGGGTATGAACGGGCTTGTGCTTGTGGCCTCGTTTCCGTGTCATGGAAGCTGATCCCCTCCTCCGACATTCCGCATCTCCCTCGTTTCTGTTGATTCAACCGGACGAACTGCTTCCGAGCTGGGGGTATGGTTCCCTTGGGCAACAGGTGCGAACTCCCGTCCATTTTCCCTACGATTCTCGCCGTCAGACGTGCCCGTAGAAGCAGGTGGGTATATCGGGTGGAGCGCCAGGGGTGGGGAAACTACAGTATGCCATATCTTTGGCTGCTCCACGGCAAGCGGCATGGATAACAATGTGTCGAGAGCTCGCTTACCCGCCTGCACATCAAAGGAGCCGAGCTGTGTGTGTGTCTGTCTCCCCCCCTTGCCCACGATTTGCAAGTGCACCTTTCCACCTTCGGGTAATCCTTGGGGCTGTACACTCATACCCATATCTATACGGAACTCAGGAGTCGGCCGCACCTGTCATGTTCCGAGCTGCACAGGCCATGGACGGATTTCAAATGTACAAGCGGGTTACGGAAAAAGAGGTCCATCTGTTGGTGGCCGGTATCCAGCGAAATTTAACCTGCGATATGGCATCCTTACCGTAAAAAAAAATGGATGATGTTGACAACCAAACCTCAGGGAACATACCGCTGTAGTTGCACGCCATGGGATGTCATTGTTGCCCTCTACACAGCACCAGAAACAAGAGCCTCGCGCCGTAACGAGGCAACAATCTTTCTGCCGCATCCGAGATGCTGTACAAATTGTCGCCCATCCACAATTTCAAATCCAGCGGCTGACATATGATGACTTCACCTTGATGTTGCACGGGCTCTGCCCTCCCTCGGGGTGGATCTGCATAACCACCGTGGTCTCAGCTCGCCTACCGGCTGCTGCCGTCCATCCTCGCCTTGGCAGCAAAGGCTCCAACGGCCGTCCAAGAGCCCTCGCTGCTGGAGCAAAGCCTCCGCCCCTGCTGCATGAGAGCGCAGCCGCCGATCCCATGCAAGAAAACGAGGACACCAAACACAGGCCTCTAGCCCCAACAAACAGAAGCACAAACGACACCCGAGAACGGCGTGGCAAGCAGAAGGGCGTCATCGTGTCCACCATGCAGGGTTCCGGGTTCTCTGAGCTGTGTGACTATTATCTCACACGCGTGATCAGGTAGGGAGCCAGTTTACCCCTGCAGGGGGCTCCGCGAAATCAGGGCTCCTCAAATCAGGCAATCAGGCAATTTGCAAAAAGTGACAAATTGGACGATCAGCTTCGCTGTCGATGTGGAACGTCACGGCGTCACAGCAGCGCGGCCACAATAGGTCTTGCCTCACTATTATATCTTGAACATCCGCACCAACAACAACTGCTTTGGGCTGGGTGGTTGTTCTCCCGTCCCTTCCTAATGGAGAGATGAACGAATAGAGAATACGGAGTGCTGCAAGAATGCAGAGTTCTGTACATCCACGAAGATTTCGCATGAAGAATGCAAGTGTGTAGACCCGTGGGCAAAAGTTTCAAGGTCTCCTCATTGCACACTACACTTGCGTTCTGTTCCGCGTTCTGTTCGGATAGGTATCATTCGTCACAAACATACCTCTTAACTACACAAATACATGGCTATTTATTGCCGTGGGTTCTTGCTCCAACGCCCCTCGACATGTTGCCAACAGGGAGGGGCGAAAACCGCCAACACAGTAAATATAAATATATATTCCGGCCGGAAATTTTGATTGGCGACCCTGTTCACTTCATTACTGATCTCAGCGCATCCATGGTTCCTGGGGACTACAGAACGCGAAAATGATGATAAAATGTTCACGGGTAAAGTACCCTCCACGTCCGGTGCTGTAAAGATGCCAACTACTTTTCACGCTAATCATCCGGGGGACGGTTAAGTAGTAATCTACCGCCCTCTTGTCTTTTTATTGTTTCATTCCCACAGCCGGGGGAAACTAAATCCTAAGGTCACTTCTAATAACCCAGACTATGGGAATGCAAAGTATCTCATGTCAAACACAGAACGCCCCACCATTTACACTCAGGAGCTAAGATAAGATATCGAGCCTCAAAAACCATAATTTCGGTATCGAGCCTCAAAAACCAAAATTTTTGAAGTTGAGCACCAATTGTAAGCTCGGCTAAGAACCCTACACTAAAACCTATATAGCGACCATTCGTAGCATGACCCTACGAACTAACAACCCCAGCCTCGGCCGAAACAATGTAGAGGTTCTGAAGTGGTGGCGCGTTCTATGGTGCACCATTGACAATATTATTCCGACCGGAACAACGCCAGAAGAATCCCTCGTCGTCCTAATGCCATAGGCTACACCAACTTATTTCCTGTTTCTGAGCTCAAATTGTAACCAAACGAATTGTGGCGCAAGCCGTGCTGCACGTACATCCCCAACACCTACAGGACGTGACGGTACTCAGGCAGATACTAATCATACGGGGGGGGGGAATGGCACGTGCCTATTGCCCACGTCACGAAGCACCGCACGCAGAACTATACACGCCAATTGAGTGTTCTTCAACCGCCGGCTCCGAACCCGACCTGAAACGGTAGCCGACTCTTCTTTCTCGAGGTCGAAGCGGAGCCCGAAACTGATCCCGAGGGATCATCTCTTCCAAGCTGCAGCTGTTGGTGGTGATGCCGTGAGGGCACAAGGTCCGCCGCAGATTCATCGGAGCTGATGCCGAATACGCTCTCACCGTCCTCTTGTTCCCTCTCGGAGGACTGGTCTTTGTGCGTTATCCGGGTATCCGAAGGCTTCTCTCCGCCACGGGACGGAGAACGAGTAAGAAGCTTTTTATTTTTGCGATTCTTTCGGTGCTGCTGCGCAGCGGCGAGATCTTCAGTGGCCGCGTTTAGACCCCTTTGGAGCGTGGCCGACACCCTGGCAGCCAGCGACTGAGCCTCGAGAGACAGAACCTCGCTCTCTTCCTCTACGGCCATCTGATTTTAGGGGGGGGGTGAGCGCAAGAGTCGAAAATGGAGGGCATGGGAGGATGCTACTTTTGGAAGGCATCATGACTTGTCAGGCCATTGGTCACGCACAGCCACCGCAAAACTGGGCAGGTTTTCGGGGGTCATGACTTCGCGCCACATGTGCCCGTAAGTGGGCAATACTCCAGAGTCTGACGATGTTTTCGCCCGAGAACAGGTGGGATTTTTGTCTGGCCTCAAGGCTCAAGGAACTTGTCCCTTGTCCGCGACCGCCGGCCGTTGTGGGCAACGAGGATAGGGTTGTGGCGTTGCGGAAGAAAAATACCAGTTTGAAGACTCGACAGCATAGGGCTGTATTTAATGATATCCATACGCCATGTGTGTGGGGCACTCCTCATTTTGGATCAGTCAGTCTTGAGGACGAAAGTCCTTCTGTTCTGCTACGGGGAGATGGGCCTTGGAAGCGATGTGAGTTGTTCGGTAGATATACCTTGGAGTTCGCGGCCGCGTCGTTGATGCGCGCGTCGGCCGACTTGAGTGCGTCTACGAACTGATTGGCGATTCGCTTCGCCTCAGATAGCACCAAGGCCAGCGTCTTTCTGCCGTGGGCTTCGGCCTCTTCCCGGGCTTCGATGTCCGCAATGACGGATTCCGACAGAAGATGCTCGACTTCTCTTCTCGTCCTGACCAAGACGAAAGGAGGAGGCCCCGGTTTGGGATTAGGGTGGGCCTTGTGCCCGGCTTCGACACGCAGCGTTTGGGGGAGGTGCTTGACTACCGTTAGGTCATTGGGTCAGGTTGAAGGAAGGGAAAGAAGGTTGTGGTCAAACAGCGAACAAATAATGCGGAACGTGATTGACCTGTCCCTTCTGATCGTTTCCTTGATAGGGCAGAGGGGAGGGAGCCTTATTCACGACGTTTGGCTGCTTTCCTCCGTGCTTTTCCACTTCTGAGTTCATTGGCGACCATCGAGTGGTTTGGGCGTTCTTTGCACGCCCTCCTGCACCACCTTAAATCTGTGTTGGAGGAGGCGAAAACCGGGTCCGTGCAGCCTTTGTATCCCTGACGCACTGTGGAATCGGCTAAACCGGAAGCGATTCAAGGGCAAAAACCCAAAAACTACCAGTCGTCTATAAGTGATTAACCCGCCCTACACACGGTGCTCTCGGCAAAAGCAAACGCCACGACAGAAGCACTCTATACCGTGGCGCACAGATGACCGAAACGGTATCCGTCAGAGAGATAAACTCTCGCAGAGCCGTCGCTCGAGCGACATACGGCGTGAAATTGCCGATGAAACAGCCCCCAAAGAGGCTTACCTGCGTTCTACAGCCTCTTCCTCGCGCTGTCGCATCCCCTCCGCCACGGCCCTTGCCTGCCTCTCCCACCACTCCCCTATGACCGTCTGGCAAGCCGATACTCTCGCCGCTGCGTCCTCTGCCTCCGTCGCTAACAACCGTTTAGCCGCCCCTTCTCCATCCCCGCCTCCGCCACTCTCCTTGGCCTCGCCCCCGCCCCCCTCGTTCTCCGACGACTGCACAGCAGACTCCGGTCCTCCGCTCCCAACACCACGCCTTCCGTCGTCCTTGTTGAGGGAACCCCCCTCCCCATCGCTGCCAACTCGAGCTTTTTCTTCTTCGCCATCCGTCCGTAGCGGCTGCCCCCCTCCTCGGCGTAAGCCGGCTCCAGCCGCGTCGCCCCCGCTTGCCTCCGCAACGATAGACCGGACGGCATCGTGGGTCTGATTGAGGGCGGCAGCGGCAACGGCAACGGCTTCGGAGGCTTCCACGGCCAATGGTCCCTTTCCAGCGATTTGTGGGAACCGGTTTACAGGCTCATGGGCCATGTGCAATGCCTGCGCGAGGACTACGCTGCGGGCTGCTGAGGCCACGGGACCCAGGCGTCCCAACCGTTCTCTCTGGGATTCTATCGTTGCACGGGTGTGCTCGAAGCTTGTCCTCCGCGATGCTCGAAGATGTCTCCACCTGAGGTGAAAGGGAGAATCGGTTTGCATGCGGGCCTAGTCTGAGTGGGTTTCGGGCAGACTGCGATAGAGACGATATATATGGTAGATTCCTTGGTTGTGTACTTTTCGAACGGAAACCCACAGTTGCTGTCACGAACAGTCCTGTCATCCCTCTCAATGGACTCTTGAATCGATACGGGACATGGTAGGGTGGATCTGGCTGCACCTACTTGCCGTTGCCCGACGACCGTTTTCCTCGTTTTTGATCTGGTATCGTGAAGACGGGGGCTAGTCACACCAACCCCATTGCGTTCGCCCACCACAAACCTTTGCTTCCTTTGCACTAGCTCGTCTCCCCAAGACTTGGATCCTGCGTGAAGCCGCCGGACAACCACGGACCTCGCCTCGACCCCCTTGGCGTGAGCTGTGTTTAGCACCTGTTTGAGTTATTGCCATCATGGAGGACTGCGTCCTGAACACCAGAAATTCAACTTTGGTCGGTAGTGTCGCTCGAAATGGCAAGTGTAAGATCACCCCGCACCGTCCTTGAATAATGTTGTGGGGCTGACACCGCAAGAAGGCTCGTGTATAGGCAAAGCAATAGCTCTCTATTCACGCCTGCTTGTGCATGGTTTTCGGTGATGCAGAGAATCGCAAGAGACTGCAAGGTGTTACAAAAACATACGGAGTATGTGCAATCGTCTAGATGGTAACAATAACAATAGTCCATTCGACTCCTATTCGAACAGGGGCGGGGAAATGCCGAACGTCCTCACGTCGATCAACTCGGATATACTGCCAGATGATCACTGATACTTGTACGATATTTTATAGGACTGATCCCACTTGTCACCCCGAAGTATCGGTTCTCAACCGCACCGAGGAAAGACGCTTCTCCATCCTTTCCGGCAACGCCGCTGCACGTTCACAGAGGTCGACGCATTCGGCTTCCAAGTGGTGGGTAGCATCACCGAGCCAGGCCAAATTTTCCCGACATAAGTTAATGCCGCGATGACGCAACTGGACGGATTCCGCGAAGTCTGCTTGCTCCTTCTTCTCCGATTGAAACTGAAGGGACGAAGTCGACGACGACAGGGAGGATGACGACGGAGACGTCCTGTTCGTGTCGCGGTTCGTAGCGCCAATCACCCTGAGCGACGAGATAAATCGAACGGTAGACATTTTTCAAGCGAGCACGGCCGGCTGAGTACGAGACCGAGGATGACCGTTACGCTGGAAGTGGGGCAGCTGCTCGCACGTGAGGGGTTGAATCGAGGGATTGTGTCAAGATGAAGTCACCCCAAAGGACGATGAGGTCAAGTTAAGAGAGAAACGGCTCAGCAAGGCGGGGAGGGCATCGAAAGGGCGGAGGGAGGGATGCTGGGGCCCTGGTTTGGCTAGAACCATTCAACATGCAGTTGATGATGCCGTCGCTGTTGTTGTTAGTATTGACCCTCATGTTCGCCAGTGATAAGCAGGGTATCTCAGGTGATACTATTTTTTATTGTTCCCCGGGCAAACAATTTCGTCCGGACGGTTTGGACAACAAATACTTTACAACATCAACATTGTCTCCCTCCCATACACTACCCAAGTACTGCACAAACAAGAGACAAAACAACACCCGAGGATGCACTCGGCGCTGCTGGCTTGTACGATAGAGGGACGTATCGGCCGCTCATACATAGCTCTTGCGTTGGATGCCTGCTCTCACACGGACAGCTTCGTAGGCAATGCGGGAAGCAACAATAGTGGAAGCATTGGCATGGGAAATAGACAGGACGATGGCCTTATTGTAGGAACGTCGTCGTTGCTGTGGTAGTTCGCGATGTTCTGGATGCTGCAATTTGACGGCCCTGTGGGTAATGGCGACCCAATGAATCGAGTTTGTGCAGAAACGGTTACGCGATGGTCGTGTTCCAAGTATTGGGTGTGAACGCTTGGACGGAGCCGGGTACGAATGAAACACCAATCTGTATTACACAATGTACACATGGAACCCCCGTGTCTCTATGAACACTATTGTATTGTACCGTATAGTTGAAGATCGACTGATAATCCAAATACAGACTAAAGCTCACGCAAGGGAACTCTACTTCGAGGTCAGCTCTAGAATACCGTATGGTCCCACTGTCAGTTCACCCCTAAGGAGGTCAACAAGCTGTGATAAAGAAGAGGACACAGCGCCACGATGTGCACAACTGCCGTGACACTCACTCTCTGGATGCCATCCGTCGCTCCTCGAACTCTGCCATGACAGTCTCGAGTCTTTGTCCTGTTTCTGCAAATGCCACCTACGGAAAACACGATATAAAAACACTTTAACCACGCAGTAAGACGTTCGAGTAACAAGTTTCTTTGTGGGCTTCGTTTTTCAAAGGAAGCAGCTACACATGTACAAGGAATGTCCTTCGTCCGCAAAGCTCTCCACATGGTTTGGTTGAAATCATCTCGTCCCAACCTGACAATACTGAAGGAAACAAAAAATGAAGCAATCATGAAAGAGGGAAGTACATGTGGCAATAATAGTTGGTTGTAATAGATGAAAATCTTGTGCACTCAAGGTTCGGGACGGCACACACAAGCTGGGCAGTCATTGACAATATAGGTGATAGGGAAAAAAATAACGAATGCTTGGGGGCTGGGGAGAGAGAGAGAGAGAGAAGTTTCAGAACGCGGTTCTTGAAAAGCTGTTTGTCTATATCTTCCCGACGTAAATGGGGCACTACGTTTTCGGGAAACAATTTGTTTTCGAAAAAAACTCAAACGAATCTAAAGGCTTTCGGGTGCCCAACGAGGAAGTCCCTGAGAATAGGGCAAAGGGGCCCATGAACCGAATTCCAGATGTGGTAGCCACAAGAGGGCAGGGTGCACTACACGGTATGAACAATACGAGCGGATGCCGTACTCCAACCTTAGCCACGGCACCGAACAGTACTTGGCGTGCGCACTCCCGAGACATTCGGGCGCCGACAATGCACCTGCTTCCTTTGGTGAACCCAATATTCAGTATTTCTGGCCCTAAGTCCCTAATCCCATGAAGCCTTTCTTCCTTCACACCCCTCTTGCCTTGCAGGATTGGGCGTCGTCCTCCCACGTGGCCGCCATGGTCTCATCCATGGCGCTAGCCTCCTCGAGAATACTTTCAGTAACCTCCTGCGCTGCCATGGCCTGTTGCAAGGTACGATGTGACAGGCAGTTCTGGTCTCGCCGAAAATGAGGTTTTTCGTGTAGTGCATGTTCGAAGAACCTAAACCTCGACTCGGGCACTCAATAGAGAAAGGGACTGGAAGATTCTACCCGATGGTTTTTTTTCTGGCTGCCTCGGCTTCATTTCTCTGTTGACTTCTTCAAAATCTGTTGAGGGAGGTACACGGCAGTTTTCGTCGTCCACGACAAACCACGCCGTCAATTAATCGCGAGATCTTGAGTCTAGACCAGCATTTACTGTTGGATGTCTTCGGTTTGCGCTTGTGTCTTCGTAAGAAATGTCGAGATTATTGCTTCATCTGACCTCCTGCCTGTACGATTCCTCCGCTTCTTTCGTCAGCGATTCTCCCCACCACTCGGGCTCTTGATCCCGCTCCTCAAGAGCCTTTCTATCTTCCTCCTTCCTGGAATACACATTGTCGGTGTTGTATTCGGTATAGTGAGGAAAACGAATACTGTCATCAAGACAGGGGGGGGAAATGAACAAACAGTACAAGTGCAGACGACACCTCGCATATCACAGCTCGAACATGTCGCGGATGTAGTCTATCACTTACCAAGCGGTCGTGAGGAATGAAGGGAAGCAGCGGATGATATTTTCTACGGTAGTTGGTTTGCGTGCTTGCTTTGAACGCTTCACGCTTTCCGTGTATGCAGCATTGTACAAGTGAACGGCAACATGCCACACCTACCAAGCGAAGCTCGCCACTCGTTCAGCCGGATCATTTTCATGTCTGCGTTTTTTGTCAATAAGCACAGAAACACCGACATCAACAACACAGCTGCTAATGGACAACAACAGACACCCTCACCGGAACTTACATGAACGACTCGTCTCTCAGGAGCTCCTCTTCCGCTTCCGTCATCACTGTGTTCAGCTGTTCTACGGCATCTATCAACCTTTGCCGGGCCTGTACATATTTACAACAGCGATAAGTAAGTTCCAAACCGCGACGGCGGTGAGGGGGGACAAGAGTACAGGTCCGTCTTGGAGGAAAAAACATCTAACTGAAAACGGCTGCGATTGACTGAACGCGCCATCTTCTAGACGATTTCGTTCTCTGTTAACACGGGTTGGGGTCACAGGCATTAACTCCTTTGGGCATAGATATGTTTCGTTGACCGGACAAAGAGTCAGGCTCAGTTCGGTTGTGATTGGTGGGGGGCTAGCAAGACTGAAAATGGGATGGCCGACCAACGACCACCGTCAAATTAGTGAGTAACCGTCTGGTGGCCAGGTGGGCAGGTTGTGGGTAGGTTGGGGCACTGACTACAACCTGGAGAGTGTGAAAGTTTCCCACATCTCGGATAGTGGTGATATGCCAACAAACACGGCGGGCTGCCAAAGCCTTGGACAAAAATGGGTGCAAGGTCATACTCGGCCTCCCAACCTCCCCCCGCTAGGTTGTATTTGGTGCCCAAACTGCTCCCCTGGCCACCCTTGCATTCTTGTTCGCGTGGCCAAATTTGTCTCTCTAACCTAGCGTGTTCCAACGGGCCAAACCAAACCCTTTCCGGAACATGTAAATCAATTTGGAGTAAACTTGGTGGAGTCTCCATGGGACTCTTAGTCTCTACCTCGTTCCAGCACTTCTGTCCTCCCAAAAAATCCAGATTCTTCAGACAGAGCGTAATACTGTGAGGCGAGACAAAAGATAAGCTAGACTTGTTTTGACGGAAGGTTTGGACAACTAGAAAAAGCATTTCCAAGATTGTTCTCGCCTGCTCCGTGGCCAGACCCAACGCAGCAAACAGCTCGTCCGTGGCGGCGGCTCTCGCCCTCTCCATGTTCACCATCAGCGTCCCCGTACCGCTCGCCACCTCAACCCTGTTCTTGGTGGCATAGGTGAACGTTCTCCGGACCTCCGTACGGCGGGTGTTCTCGATCTCTCGGGCGTTTCTCTCCCTTGAGGTGCGCTCCCGGGCATGGTCGGCCAGCTGTTGCATGGTCTCGAGCCGGGGCGCTTCTAGGAGAGAAGACCGCAGCTTGAGCCTCATGTACGCTGCATTGGTTTTCGGTCGTGATGATCCGTCATTTAGGATGAAAATGATTCATGCGGAGATGGGTGTCGTGACCATCAAGTCTTCCAATGGGGGGGCATCAGCGATGCAGGAACTCTACCCGCCTGCGATAGTGCCCAAACCGCTGCGTGAAACAAGAGGGGTAACTAAACTCTGGGGCGGTGGTTGGAATGGAGGCACTACTCTGCTGCCCTCCTGCAGGACACATATAAGTGCTCTACACCACTCATTTGCCGTGTAGATTTGGTTACGGAATCATATGTCGGCATCTGAAAGCAATATTTTCTGTAGTTGCGCTCGTCAATCTGTGCAAGGAGATCGCGAAGGGCTTCAACAAATTGACACATTCTGCTTCCAACGACAGCAAGCCCCATTACTATCTGCAACGGCAACAGCAGCACCAGCACCACAACAACAACAGCAACAACAACAGCACATATTTCCACGATCGATTCTGCTTCCCTCACCCATGCGCTGGCAAGCGGCCTCGAGTGCCGTCAACAAAGCAGTCCCACTTCGTTCAGTACTTAATCGGAACCTGGTTTGCCTGTTGCGCTCGAGAGCATCACTTGTCATGACTCGAGCCCCTGCGCAATATCGAAACACACAAATACACACAGAGAAACCACCCCGACAAGCCTGGGGTTAGTATCGCTCCATGACACGACGAGACAAAACATGTAGATAAATATTGTTCGTCGAAGGACACCCTCCATTGGACCGTGGAACTTGAATAGCGAATAAACAATGATCAAAGGCGTTGACTTTGGAACTATCACCGCTAGATCTGCAGAACGCCGGTTCACCCCAAAGAGAATACCGGTCTCGGACGTTCATCCCGGGTATCGATGACGGCATCGTGCATCCTACCTACGACCAGCTCTCAACATAATCGACAAGAAGCACAGTTTGTATTGAAGTGTGAAAATGGTAAGCCTGACCTCCAAGAATCGTCGTAGAAGGCTTGAATGTTGAAGGCGACGTTGCTGCTTTCCCCAGGCGATGAGCCGCCTGCACGAGTCGAAGCAGCCCGGGGAGTTGGTCTAGCAGCGGTCGGTAGCGTACCGTTTGAGTTCGTGGGGGGTAGCCAAGATAGGAATACTCGCCCCCGTTTGCCATTTCCAGGTCTTGTTCCTCTCTCACTGCAGCAGCGGGAACTTGCTGTTGGTCACTGCGTCGGAGTTTCTCTGGGCAGCTTGTAGCTGGCCAGCAACCTGTGTATTTCAGCCCCGTTGAAAGACGGCACCGATCATTAAGCATATGGTGCTACAGCCGCGGATAGTGCCGTACTATCTTGCCCCATCTGCCCCCAGCGTTCGTGGTTGACGCTAGGCATGAGCGAGTCTGTGTTTGGCAGGGAAAGTGTATGATCACCGCAACGAAGAATATGGTCTTAGGTACGGTTCCCATTCCTTTCGCGAGCACGAGAGAGAAACATTTTCCCAGGGCCTGTGTGGGCTGTTTAAGTGTGCGTACGGTACGTGGGGATGAGGAGTAGGCGTGGTGGCGTGCTACGTTTCCCATCTTAGTCGGTATCGTAAAGCTGGGTGGCAAAAGCATGATTCGGCGGACGCATCGTGCAATTAACAAACCCGTGGGATGTCGAAAACAATTCGGCTCAACACACCGAATTCATAAACTAATTAGCTGTAGGGGGAAGCACTCGACCCACCGGATAGTCGAAGCACCACATCCGCCTGGCCGGGCTCTAGCCGAAAACCTGCCTCTCCACTCTGCAGAGCCACGGCAAGCACAGCAGGTGGCAGCCAGCCCGTACCCCTCGCATCCAGCGCCGCCAGTATGCCCTCCGCCCCGCCCCTTAGTGTCTCCGAGTCAAGTTTCGAAAGATCTCCGATGGACGGATGCCCGGGAAAGTCGGATAAAACTTCGGGGTTCTCCTCAGTTTCGAGATCGCAGCTGCTTTCCAGTTTACGCCGATTTTCACTGCTGTTCTCGGGGTTGGTCCCGACCTTTTGTGTGGTTGATGCCTCTGCCCCTCCTTCCCCTCCTGCTGTTGCTGCTGCTGATGATGATGATGACAATTCCTCTTCTCCTCGGCTGGCGTTGTGTCGGGAAAGACATCGGTACACGTTATCAAGGGAGTTTCGCGAAACTAGCCGTAGCACTGACCGTGACATGATAGTCGTCAAGTTTGCGACGCTACCAGGCTCGGTGGAACCGTGTCCGCCGTCGTGAGCGTCGCCGCTGCTGTCAGCACTAGTCTTCCGGGCAGCACCGTCACGGCCACCAAGGAACAGCTGCGATGCTCCCGTCGAGCCATCATCCTCGAACAGGGTGGTGGCCAGCATCATGAGCGGGGAGAGCCCGAGACCGGACGCCCTGTGCAATGCCGCCCAAGCTGCGTCGGTCCCGCCGCCACCGTCCACCGCCTTCTCATCGCCGTCACCCGCCGCCGTCGCGGGGGCCTCCGCACCACCGCTACCCATGCCTGGTGCAGGCACCCCCCTCGTTTCTGGCGTCATTACAGCCCTCGACACGTCCACGGCGCACGCAGATTCCACCTTGCCGGGGTCGCATGCGTCAGCCCACAGGGCCAGGTGTTCCAGCGATGCCGTGCGCACGACGAGCAAGGCGCGAGAGAGGGCCAGCTTCCAGGCGGTGGGGTCTCCCACAGGGGATGAGTCCTCACCGCGGGGACCCCCGCCATCCCCGTTGCGGCAATCATCACCACCACCACAAACGTCGTCGTCAGTGTTGACTTTCTGGTTGATGGTGGCGCTATGGTCCGCCCATGCTTTCCCCTTAGCCGAGAGAAGGGCCGTCAGCGCGCACACGCTCTGCGGGGACAGCACCGCCGAGTGCTTCTCCACCTCCCGCCGGATACGCCAAGTCTGGAACTGGGACCAAGACCCGTGAGCCTGAGACCTTGGTTGGGATGCGCCAGCAGCGTTGTCGCTCATGGTACCACCACCATCATCAAGGAAGGGAGGCGAGGACGGGTGCAGCCAGACTCTGGCGAGATTGGCGGAGAGCGCGTCCCCGTACACGTCAAGTTCCGCCGCAACTTCCGTCTCCGCGACGGCCGCCACTACCGTGGACATCATCGTGGGTGTCATTGTCATCGGCGCAGCGTTACTCGTCACTGTCTCCGATCCCGAAATTAGCAGAGGCGAGGGAGGCGCTATACCGGGCGCTGGCTGCATCTCTAGCGGCTCACCGGAATCCACGGCTATGGCCTTCCCCTCGCCCCCTCGCACTGCTGGGTCAGCATCCAGCGTGTTACCACCTCTACCGTCGTCCCCTGCTACGGGTGCTGTGTTGGGTTCGCATCGAAGTGTCATGGGCGTCTTAGTCGCTGCCGCCGTCGCGCGAATGCTCCGGCGTAGCGCGATGAAAGACGATGTGGCGGAGAGAAGAACATCCATCCGCACGAAGCCCTCTGTCTCGCCCGGGCCCTCGACAAGGCAGTCGTGGGCTAGACACAGCACCGCTGCTCCTCCGGGTAGGACCCCGAAGGTGGCTCCGACTTCTCCCAAGTCAAGTACCTTTGATTGGTGGCAGGGGGGTATTAAGGGATATTTCGTGCCATGCTGATTGCTGGTATACATAGAAAGGAGGTATGACGTAACATACAGAGAGTGCCGTGGCTTAGCCAGAAGCACGAAGTCAGGGGTGAACATGGCTATTACTGCTCTCGCCTACCGTGTTGTGCTCGGCAAGATGTTCCAGGGCCTTCAGCCACCCAGCCTCTCTGGATTGCTCCACAACGCCATCCGGATCGAGGGCGTCGATGTCGATGCTGCTCACGGCACCGCTAGGCCTTTCCAAGGTGGGCACGCAAGCATGCGTGATTCAAGTCGCGGAAAAGGGAAAAGTCATGTATGAATTTGTGGTAGACGTGTGGTCCAAACGAGGCGGCATGGCTAAAGTGCGGGCGAGAAAACCACGACACCCAAGATATGTCAGTACGTGCGCTTGCCAAGGGGGTTTTAGGGGCGTCTACAGTGTGCAACATGAAGGAATATTTGAAGCCAACGTTGGGTGTCGTACGTCGATCGGTGTTGCGTGTCATACATAGTCCCTCGGCAAAGGAGAAGACGTCACTTGACAACACAAAGGGGGGCACTCAACGGCGGCGGTTGAGCGAAGCTATGCAGGTGCTTGGTACAATGCCCGTGAAGGTATGCACCACGGGATGGGATATGAGCTTTGTGTCGAAGAAAGTTGGTTCTTGCTTTCTAGCGCCGGTGAAATTGGCAGGCACATATCGGAGCTACTGAAATCCCCCCTCCGAACACTTGTGTATCTCTTTTGTCGGTGGGGGGGCACGTCGGCTAGACTCGCATGGAAACGGACCGATTAGCGCTGGGCGCGTAATGTAACCGAACCTTTGTCCCGGCTGCCCTTGTTGCGGCGGCAAGGATACGCTCGAGCAGCGCCGGTGGTTAGTGTCGTGGAAGTGATCCATTCGGCGCTCCAGCACGGTGGACATATGGAACGCCATCGCCCTGCCAACAAACACAACGATTTTGTCTGTTGTTGTTGCTGGTGCTGCTGGTGCTGCCGGTGCTGCTGCTGTCGGTGTTGATATTCCTGATTCTGACGAAATGGCTTCCTCGTTGATGCTGCTGGACCCCCCGACGTCTCTCACGACAATAACGCACGGATTACCACCATCACCGCCCTCATGGTCCTCTTCAGGCGACTGTGCTGCATCCTCGCCAAGCCTAGTCGCCGTTGACCGTTCCCCGTCTTTGTTGGGTTGATGGCCTTCAACTTTAGTACTGTCCTGTGTTCCGGTGCTGCAGCCGCCGCCGTCGCCTTCTGCAACTCTTCCCTCTGGTCCAGACACATGCCCATCGCCGCCATCAACACCACTGTCACCTGTCGAGCTGCCCGATGTCCACTCCCTGCTTCGCCAAGAGGCTCTCGAAACCTCGATTGCTTGCCGCTGCCGCTGAGCCCATCGCTCGGCAGTTATGTCCCCCGCCGCTGCCGCCATTCTCGTGCGCTCGACCCCGTCGCGGAAAAACGCCTTCCAGTGCGCCAACATCCCCTGGCGGGCCAGGACGGCCAGAGATTCCAGGTGGTCCGACCTCTTGCGGGCGGCGAGAGTTTCTTTTTCAATCGCGACGGTAGCTTGAAGGATGGGTATGTGGTCGTGGCTACCACTGTTGTCGTTGTCTTCGTTGCTGACGCCACATGACGGGGTATCTGCCGTCGTTGTTGCTACGGCTGCATCGAATTCCAACCGGCTCCGGTGTTGCTCCTCCCCTTGCGCCGTCAACGATGCCGCCTCGAGTTCATCCCCGATAAGGCTGGAGTCTTGGCGGCAGGCCTGGACCTCCACTGTTGTCGACGACAACAAGCCACTGCTCTCGCTTATTTCCTGGGTGTGTCCCTTGCCAGCTCCGGGTTCTCCGGCCGCCGACATTATTTGCCGAGAATCGTGACGAAGACCTCCCCCAGCAAGCGTTCGCTCGGGCGCCGTGCGGCCGGAGGCGATAGTGTCGCAAGAGGTCCCATTTCTTCCCCAAGCGTGCAGACTCCGGAAAAACGCCGCGTCATTTCCGGCAGTTTCGGACATCGAGGCGACAATAGCGTTAACCCATCGCTCCCTGTCCTCTGTCAGCTGTTTGCGAGCGTCCAAGAGTTGCGAATCGACAGCGGCGCAGCCTTCGCGCTCTTGACGTAGGAGCCAGGCTTCGAGCAACCTTTTGGTAGGGAAAAAATAGAGGTCGACGTGTACACATAAACGCGCGGCGGTCGTGGAACGGCTTGACAGTCGTCGGTGATACCCTGAGTCGATCTTCGATGTTCACCGTGACGGTGACCAGAAGCCATAATGAATACTCAGTACAACGTTTTGGGGATGATGGCGTCAGATAGGACTGTCATAGAGTGGGCGGAAGACGAAGGCGAGGATTTGAGGTAAGAACTCCACGGGACATGGCCCGCCAAATGTTATTCCTCCTGATTTATCTTGTCCCGAATACGGGCCTGATAGGCAAATGCACTAGTCTACCTGTCCTCCTTGTCTCTCTCCGTGAGCAGCATTTCTCGGAGCAGGGCTTCTCGGTCGGCCGCTCTCGCCTTTTCCTCCGCGAGGGAAGATACTGCGAAGGATACCTGGGATTGGGATTGGGCGAACACAAGATCTTGCTAGTCATGCTACTTCCATTCGCACCATAGTAAATATGCGCTTTCCTTCCGCCTTCTCCTGGTCTACCTCTAAGGACGCCGGCTGCCCCCAAAGACAACCGACGTGGTGTGCATCATGAACCCTTGCCAAAAGAGTTATCAGATTCCAAAAGGGATTACTTTGAATCCGTGTAGTGACAATATTCAAGCCACGGACCGCAACCACCTACATAAATTGCCATGTCCGAGTTTTGGACCTACCACCTGCGCATCAGCCCTGGACCAACGTAAATCCACTCCACTGCCGGTGAAACCAACATGTGGGGGGGATGAGGGAAACGATATTACCAAGAAGCGAATGCAAATGGATAGCGAAATCATGGACGAGGGAGAATGCGTAGATGGGATAGGCCGAAACCGTACACGCCCCGTGTCATGGATGGATTCATGCTCTGCTCCTCTTCGTTCTACTATCTGCACCCGTTATATTTATACCTCTGCCTTGATTTGCTGTTCTTGCTCTTCCCTCCACTCCCTCAGCGAGGCGGCCACTCTCTTGGCCTCCTCGTCTACCTCGTGTTGCACACCCAACATCTCCTTTCGAAACAGATCGCAACGCTCGACATCTGCCTCTCTTGCGGCTAGCATGCCAGTCCTTCAAGTTTGTGGAGCACAGGCGAGGTATGGGAAGATGGAGTGCTGTCTAGTTGCACGCCGAGGGGCCTATCGATGGGCACATCAGCCTAGCTAGCACGGGGTTCCGTTTGTTTGTGACCACTTCAGTGTTGGCGAGAGTCGGTGACTGTTGCCGGCACAGGAGCAGGGGAGGCTCGGAGGGGGCGGATCGCCTTCGATCATGTCGTCGTTCTTATGTCGATTGATACACGCATAGCCATTTGTCCCAGGTTGAGTCACTTCCGAAAGTCTACTTGCTAGTTTTCCGAGTTGTGAACGTACTTTTCGACCTTGTCCGGCTACTCCATGGGATACACGTTTCCTAACTTCCAGGCTCGCGGCAGGGAATAAATATATCTGAGCTCTGGCCGACAACTTTCGATGGGATGGCGCCTCTATGACCTTATCAGGACCTGAAAACGAGGTCTCGCGCTTTTTCGGTGCGTATTCGATAGGCTACCGTGGTTTCCTTGACCCAACAGTTATTGGCAAGCGCACAGGAGTTCGTGATCCCATCTCCATTCCTAGTGAATTCCATCTGCTAATCATGTTGTCAAGTACTCCATATGTGCATTTGCATGCTGCTCGGAGGGATTAAACTTTCAACACCAAACCATTTGTCTGGGCGTCGTAAGTGTCCAATCACCACAACCCGGCCAGTTTCGATATATTTAACCGATGGGAGTCTAGGGTAGCCCCGTTAGCTGTCTCACATGAAACGCTATTGGCTATGCAACCGATAAGCTTCCTGCTCGTCCGTCCACCTCAGCTATTATGATAGTTCATGTTGACAACGAATCTCGAAGCCGTTTCAAGCAACCGGAATCTGAAGTCGCCCAATGGAGGTCGGGCGTCGGAAGGGGGGAGCCAACAACACATCCCAAGCTTCACGGGAAAAACCGTAGAACGGCCTGTATGTGAACAGATGCCCTAACAATATACATATTTCGTGCAATCTGCCCCTTCGTACCTCTCCTCCTGAACCTGTGCGAATATACCGTTCCTCTTGGCCGTTACCGACGAACTCAGGAAGGTTTCGATAGTGTCCTGACCTGCTCGGCTTCGCTCCGCGTCCTCTGCGCTAGATCGTCTCTCCTCCGCCTGTTTTGAATAAACAGACAGGGGTCCAGGGGCGGCGTGAAGAGAAAATATTGTCCATCCCTCGAAAGCAAACAATCACCAGCCTCCTCCGTGTTGCACAGACCTTCGTCCACAGGCTACCGGGTCGTCGTCAGACCACACGTCTTCCTCTTCATCTGCCTGGTTCTGGTGGTTACCGTTGTCCACACTCACGAGGAGGATGTCTTGCTTGTGCTGCCTGACCATGGCCTTCCGACCGCGGCGAGCGTCGCAGAACCCTCGGGAGTCGTCGGCAAGCTGGGAAGCGGCAGCCGCTCTCGCTGCCGCCGCGAACTCGGCGGCGTTGCGAGCTTCCCACAGCACGTCGCGGACCTACATCCAGGAGTGATATGCAGAGAGATGGTAAGGTCACCGGGCGGGGTGATACAAGAATGAGATCGGCGAGTCCGCGTGGCAGTAGCTTCACCTGTGGAAGAGACTCATGAACGCCGGCCATCCATTAACAAGCGGCTCGCCACCGACGTAAGGGTAACGTGCCAAGCGTTCACATCCATAGTTGTTCCGTGAATGGTGGTTCTGTGGCCAGGACATGTCAGCCGTTCGCCCATCCGGCGTATCGAAAATATTGAGGCGCAGCTCACAGTGTTGGAGTTATCCTCCGGGCGGAGCTCAGATATAATTTATAGCGACAACCAGTCACAACAACAACATCAGCGACAACGACCGCCACAAAGAGAGTGCTCGCTCAGGCGGCAGCACTATAGTATGTTGCTGCTCCACTCTTATCCATAAAAGACCCTCACCGCATATGGGTGGCTGCACCCACGAACAAGAGCCCGCAATGTCTGCTGAACGAGCTTGTGTGATCCCACCGAGAGCCACCCCTGCAAGTTCCACGCCTCTTGGGAGGCACCCCTCTCATCCCGGTCCGACTCACACGCCCTCTGCAGCATGCTAGAATACCTGGGGAGAACAAGCACAAACGGTTGGGGATCTTGTCTGCGAAATCGGGGAAAGTACCGGCATCTGGGTATCGTCGACGCAGCCAACGGCTCCCATCACTGCGACTTTTTTCCACTTCGGCTGCATCAAGATGTGTCATCCTTCATCGTCGCCCGCAGCCAAGCTCATCGTCGTCAACGCCAGTTTCAACAACGCCTCGCATCAACGCCAGCTCCAATAACGCTTTACGATGCTGACCGTCACCAGTTTCTTTAGAGGCACTGCTGTAGCACACCTGTCCGAGCTTCGCCCTCTTTCGCTGGCTCGATCCGCTTCCGCCCGCCGCCCATCTTCCTCAACCATCTCCGGCACTCCTCTCTTCCACCTGACTTGCCAATCAACGAAGGTCGTTGCGTTTCGGTACCATTCGTTCCGTCTCATTCGATTGGTTATAGCGAATTGTCAAGTCTCGGGGTCCGCACCTGCCTCAAGGCTAATATCGTTCGTCGCTATCTACGACCCAACTTGCTTTCGTTAGCTGCTTTGAACAGAGAACCCTCGCCAAACGCGATCCTGTAAGGAAGGGTTTGTTATCGAAACCCGTAACACGCCTTGGACCCTCGTACACTTGGGGTCCGCAGGTGAGATACGCGAATTTCTTGTCGGGGTCAACTTTTGCATGTCCCGTGGCCACCACCAAGCATGGGGAAGAAATGCAAGCAGGACGTCGGGCCGACCAGTGATGATTGGCCCCTCCACTAACGTTTCATTTCTCGTGGAAATCTAAACCGGTTTGTTGTTAGCTGAACAATTGCGGGCACAGCTGTAGGAGTGTCTTCTCGTTTCGTGGCCATATACCCCCGCGCCTCGGACCCGAAACCATACCCACCTTGCGCTCTCCTCCGACGCCAAGGCCCTGGCCCCGACCGCCTCCAACCAAACCGAAGCGTCCAGCTGAGACGTGGCCGCCAAGTGACCTTTTCTCCAGGCCTCTAGGACGGCGTTCGCCCGCTGCTCTTCCCGCTGCGTTTTTCAAGGGGACACGCGTGGAGCAGACTCAAGACTCACTTGCGTAGTCCAAAAGGAAAGAAAACTCAAACATCCCTAGCGATATGCCTAAGGGTTACAAAACCAAGGTGCATCAGCGCGTGTTGCGCTACGTTAACCTTGTCGGTCCTGTTTTTCTCACCTCCTTCGTAGCGACGCATGCTGACGCATCCCACAGCAAGTCCACCTGGGTGGTACGCCTGAAGAGCCAGGCGCTGTCTGCTTCCCCTTGCTCGAGCACGTCGATGCTGTGACGACCGAGTCCCTGGTTGGTGAGCCGAAGGGGACGTAGATCGTGAGCTAATGCATTTTCCGCCATTTCTCTCGACAGGTCGTCGTCTAGCCGGAACCCCCTTCCCATGAAATGTGGCACCTATCGCCACCTATCGCCACACAAAAGTTTTGGTTAAATGCGATATCTCAATTCTCGATCGATCTAAGAAACTGGCAGCTGCAACGGATGATCCCCCCATATCCTGGAGATTCCCGCGCTCTTACACAACGATGGAAAGTGGCACAATTGGAGGGTACAGCATGCAGTTGATCGGCAAGACGAGGTTCGCCATTTGCACGAGCAATCTGGCGGGGCAAACAGCCATGCGTCTAGCGGGGCAACCAGACACGCGTTTGTCGTGGAATACGCCAACAAGGAACAACGCCGAAACTGAACTTTGTGTGGTCGAGTATATAAAGCTTCGGATGTTCTACGCATTGGGCGTACGCCTGTTGTTCGTCGAAGCCTTCACCTGCCCGCGAAAGAGGGAAAAAGAAGTAGCCACTACCAGTGATGTCGTTTCATAACCGCCAACCACGCTCCTCACCTCCACACGCTGCACCCGAGCGGTCCTCATCAGGGCCTGAGCGGCCACATACGCGGCGTGGTTGCTTTCGCGCACTTTCACGTAGTCAGCGATCTGAAAACGTGGGTTGTTAAAAGTACTTTGTCGTGTTACAATGGCGTTCACAAAAAATCTGTTTATTGATCGCTTATTGGTCGGTGGCTCGTTTTCGACGGCTTCACGTGTGGTGTTAGTGTAGGAAAGATCGTGTTGATTGTCTACCTCGATAGTTCACTATACGTAATCAGAGGAGGCTGGCGCCTCACCACACGTACGACAATACGCGTAACGTGTGTGGACAAATGCTTGCTTGAAAACGAAATACTTGCTCGGGGTAGTGGCAAGCAGGTGGCATGCACGAGAGCCTGGTTGAAACAATGCGCGATATGCGCCCGCCTGAAAAATCGAACTTGATCTAGGTTGCTTAAGAGCTGAGTAGACCTGGGCATACCTTGTCAAGAAAACTCTCGAACAGGCTGCCCTGTGCACTACCAAACAGTTCCCAGGATCGTTCCTCCCCTAGAAGCTGTCCCCTGAAGATCTCGTCTTGCCGAGCCTTATGCATCGTCTGCCGCTTCTTTTCGGAAGCATGAAAGATCTGGAAAGATCGAAGAAAAGCGAAATCACGAAAAAGAAAGAGGTAGAAAGCGGCAGAATCTAGTACAGTGAAAAAAAACGCGCAGACGGGGGGACTTGGTGCAAATCTCGGTACCCATGTGCACGGAAAAAAAGCGTGGTTAAACACGTTTCCATTGTAGCCGGAATACCGCTTCCAAATTCTGCCCGAACAGTTTGACCCGAGAGAGAGAACGAGAGAGAGAAAGAGGCTGAGAACGATAGAGAAATACACAGATGTTGGAAGGACATTCGAGAGATGACCGTACGCCATAAACAACTAGACACACTTGTGCATCGCTTACCAATCGAGCTTGGAACTCTCCTACGCCTACATCAGCCCGAAGGAAAAATCGTCATTTTCCTCGTTTTGTACACGAGTTGCGTTACGCGTGTGCCCTTGCATCCAAGCAGCTCTCCTTCAACTCTTCTTTGCGACACAGACCCCTTGCACATCTTGCTTACCTTCACCCTGGCAATCTCGAGATCCTGGAGCGCTCTGGGACAAAGCTGAGCTTGCCAGGGGAGGGCCCTTCTCGCCAACGATTCGGCCACGCCTACTAGTGCCGCCTCCCTAACATCCAAGAACTCCACCGCGGCATCTCCTGCCCCGCCGCCAACCTGAGGTGAGTTTCAAGCGAAATCGGAGGCGGGAAATTGTTTTATTGTTTGTTACCGAAGCGGGGCTTGTGCCGAGAAAATGACAGCGGGGTCTGCTTGTGGGGTTCGGAATTAGAGATCAGGGTGCGGGTGGCGTGGGGTTCTCCATTGGATCATGCATGGCTGTGGTAGTTGTATCGCGGATCCTCGAAGACGTTCGTGACGTCAAGACATGGCCCAGATGGGAAACTTAACTGGCCAGGATGCTGGTACGACAGCAAGCGCGGACGGTGTTGATCAGCGATTCGAAGAGAGTGCGACTTACGTCCTCACCGCTGATTGTGCGTTCAGGCAGCGTTATCTGGGAAGGGGTCAGTCTACTCCCTGCGCTTTCTCGGCCCCTTTCACCCCATACTGCCCTCTCCACCGGAGGAGTTCGGGGTGCACTCGTGAGGTAAACTAGCGTACGGGTGCCATCGCCGTTCGAATGCGCCGGCGACAGCTCCCGTGCTGACCACTCGCTACGTCACTCGATGTCTGTCACACTCAGTGCTGCTGATGCGCACATCTACTTTCTGTGGATGATATTCACATGGCAAGGCTATTTCGTTTATTGCAAAAACGACCAAAATAAAATGTACCGTGCGCATCAGGAGGAATGCACTACTGTAAGTCGGGTACATGTTACGCTCCAAATAATAAGTAGAATTTTGTGCAATTGCTTGACTGGCTACCTTACGTCGTCTTTTTCGCCGCCATCCGAAAACATCCATTAAGCACACCAATCGCCCCGAACCAACGCCTTGTACATATCAGACGCCATTAGCCGAAGTCCGGAACACGCTCCTCTACTCTAATAGCATGATATGCATCTGTCATGATGATCACATGTTACCTTTCTTCGCCGTTTCGGCCACAACCCGAAACCGTCAGAAGAAGATCCAGACCGCCTCAATCCAATATCTTGGCCCTTTTGCCACAACTCGCTCGGCAGCATGGTGCCAACAACAGCAGAGCCGTCCACGCTCCTTCCATTCGAACCCGGGGGCATCGCCACTGCGAAGGAGGGGGGGTCGGAGGTCCTGCTCGCAAACACGGGGCTCGCGAGAGTGTGACTTGCGAGGGTGGGCCTCTGGTGCTGTCGGTCGTGGTGGATTCTTGACGGGATACGCGAAGGAACCGTCTTGGGCCGCGGCGCCACGGTGAACAGGCCGGTATCGTCCCAGGCGTCGGAAGGGGAGAATGGGGGGAACGTTAACCCCACCCCGGTACGTGGAGGTGATTGTGCTGGTCCCTTACCGCCCCGTTTTTCCATGAAGCTGGGACGAGATGTTCGAGCCCCGCTACGTGCGTTGGTGGTGGTGCTGGTGGTGCTCTTGTTGGCGACATGTCTGCGGTGGCGCGCCGTCTTGGTTTGTTGCCTCAAACAGCGAAGAAGCTGCAAAAGCGACACGTTTTCGCAAGTGCAAGCAGAAGAGGGCGGTAGGGGGGAGGGGACTCGAAACACGAAGCTTTTCCCCATTTCATATTGCTGAACTCGCGGTACACTGAACCATGGAACTACAGTAAGCCTTAACAGCCGAGACAGAACCTTAACGCCTGCTGCAGGGAAGGTGGCCTGCTTCGATGAGTCGAAACAACAAAGAACACATCAACAAGGTGGAGAGCGGGCGCACGCACTTGCTTCGCATCCACCGCGGTGATGTCTCCCGCCAGCAGGCTTGCCATCGAATTTCCGCCCAGTTCCGGGGTAGACTGAGAGGCCATCAAACCCTTCGCGCCACTGCTGTTGCCTGTTCGGGTGTTGGAGAACGCCGAGATTTGGAACTCCCCATCGTTAAGCGTAGTCACGGCAAACATTTTTCTTGTTGTGCCCTTGAAGCGGGTTCGCGTAGAAAACAGATCCCCCATACAACATGTATGCATCGAAAGCGTTTGTGGCTTGGAACAGACTCGAGGCATTCGGAACAACGAGCACCACAATTGCCTACGGAAGCGAGAGAGCCTTCGTCTTGTGATCCGCACGCGTGTGCCCCGCAACATAGCGTTGTGCGAAGGGAAAACGAATCTCGCACTGTGAAAGAGGTCGTGTAACCGATACAACTCTAGTGTTCGTGCTGGGTCTTGGGGAGATATAACAATGTAGGAGCAAAGAGAGGTACACTACTACGCACCCGTGAACAGCCTGGAGGTTGTCGTACTTTCCCCGCCTTCATCCACTATCCTGTTCGTCGCCGGTGTGCTTGCCGCTGGCAACGTGTCGAAGGAGAGGACCTGTTGTTCGTGCATTTTGTGTTCAAGAATTGACCATAACAAGCATCAACATTGTGGACTGCTGTGAGTGAGCGGGCGTGTTAGTTCGGTGTGTTCAGGGCACGGTACGGCACCCCCACGAACGGCAAGCATGGCAGCCGCCGTATTCAGCACTGGTACGTGTATCTCGAGGCCTACCACGCCAAATCGAACTAGATCGGAATGCTCGCATCCGCTTCAAGCCGAACCAACACCTCACTAAGTCAAATGAGAGAAATAGGTCACTAGACGGAAAAAAAAATGTAGTCCTGTACGTCGTATTGAAGACTCTGGGAGAAACTATGAAGGGTTTCTGAAATGTGAGGGCTTCCTCGAGAAAGGCATTGTCTTGCTGCCTCAGAACTTACGACTGGGATATGTGCCAAAACAGCTTGCGTGTAGCATGGGGAGCATGTGCCTCACGTACAAAACTCGGGGTACCCAAGCCAGCACCTCTAACATTTTTAAAACCCCAGCCGGATTTGCAGCGTATGTCGTTCTTTGGAGGAGTTGTCGGTGGTTCTGCACGGGGAACCCTCCTCACTGCGAGCATCGGCAACTAATCAAGCTCGCATCAATCGCAAAGGTAACCCCGCAATTCCGGTAGACTGTACCGTGCACAGAAAATGGAGCCAAACAAATCATTGACATTGCCTGGCTGACGAAGCCATCTGGCCCCTCGGCCTCCCAAGACGGTTGAGGGATGCTGCTGGCGACGCTGTCCAAGCTGCTCCTTCTCCGGACCCCGTGCCGTGAGCCCGAACTCAACCGCCTGTTGCCGTCGTGAACATGAGTGCTACCGTCGTCGGCGAAGCTGACGACATTTTCCACACTTGTGCCAGAGCTGGTGCCGGAGTGCTTTACCTGGTTCTTGCCTTCTGAAGAATGTCCCCGAAATTCTCCTGGTGCCCCTACCACGGTGCTAGAACTGACAGATGGCAAGAGTCCGCGAGGAAGAGACCCGGTTCCTCCGGTTTTCGGAAGACCGGCATCGAGAAAAGCGGCGGGGGCTGGGGGGGAGCTCCATTTTCGTACGTCGGGGCAAAGGCCGTTCAGACCCCGGAGTTCGACGTAGTCGCTCACGGCTTCCTTGACAGCGCGGGAGAGGTCGTCCTGTGCGTTGAGTCCGAGGATTTTTCGGTAATAGTTCGGGTTACGATTAGCTAGGGAATACGCCCGGCTGGACGGTGTGCAATGGTTCGCTTGTGGTTCGGGTTGGTGTCGATAGATGTTTGAAGATGTGTTTGAGCGATATTCTCAGTACCCAGTGCTCAGAAGAGTGTCCAATGTGTGAGCAGGTTGTTGGACGTCCCAAGGGATAATCGTCCCTCAAGGTACTCTCGTAGTTGCTGCTGTTATTGTTGTTTGAATGAAGGGTTCATAGGCGGCCAGAGGCGCAGTTAGTGGTAGATTGGATACCGACCACAAGTAGAGGTTGGGATGGGAAGTTGAGAGGGCGGGATCGCCTGAAAACGTTTACATTGTGTACGGCCAGCCTGTTTAGTTGGATCAATGATTGTGGTGGTGATGGCGAGGTTAGGTGCACACGGCAGCTAATGACCTTGGGTGTAACCACTTACAGTAGGTCGTGCTCCCACAGCCGCGTACCGTTGCCACCAATGTTGCTGAAGCTATTGAATTGCTTCTCATCAAATCAAGTGTTCTTCGAGCTGTTGATAGTGAACCTTCAACACGTCTCAAAATTTCTCCCACAACAGACACCATCATCATAAACCACGTTTCGCTTCGCACGCTGCCCGTCACGGCTAACCATGCTAGACGTACGCTGGCCCTCGCGATGGAAATAATTGGTTTACAAACTTGACGTTCATCACGTCGTTTCGCTTTTCCTACCGTAGTCATGGCTCCCTCCCAGGGTGCTCGCACAATGGGGTTCGCTAAAGCACAGCAGGAGCAACCCCCCCAAACTACCATGAATACCTTTGGAGGTCTGGTGTATGGATAAGGTCGCATATGAAGCCAGTAGTACTTGGTGTTAACAATGGCGCTTTTGAGCACCTCAATTTCAGAACAAATGTTCGAGTCTGTAATGTTTTTTTCCGGTTGGCCAGGTCACTGGAATCTCAGCGGAAGGACTGCAAGTCCAATCTCCATCAGGTGTCACTCATCCTCTCACTGCTGCAAAATACTGCAGTTACCTCCCTTCCGTTTCGGAAGTATATCGAACAAAGTAAAGGAGTCCCTTTGTATGTTGTGGCACGAAAATATCTACTGGGAGACACATCGTTCAAGTTGAATGCACCGCAGGAGGCAAGGAGAAGCAAAAAGCCACAGACACCACGTTGTATGACCCAGCTGGAGCGTCAAATATATGTCGAAAGATGCACACTGGATTGGACGAAAAAACACTGAAAAAACATACCTGGTACACTACTGACGGGTTCCCATTGGTCAGCCGTGTACTGTAGCGCGGCACGATACTACATGTGGTATTGTACTCTGTATCACACATCACCCTGCACCCCAACAACACGCGTACCTGTGTGACGCACAGCAGCATTGAACCGCTGCCCTGGTAGGGTTTCTCTGCCCCTGGCTAATTACAGCAGCATGGGGCACCGATGGTCGCCCCCGACTCTCAGACGACTACAGTAGAAAGGTATATTGACCCCAGACTGAATGAGCGTAGACAGAGCTCAACATACATACCGGCTTGATGCCTTGAAAGAATGCCTCCGCATCCTCCTTGTGAGGGCAGCATGTACCGCCATAGCAGCGACACGCAGTGGAAGACATGCGTGTGGCCCTTGTGGAACTAGCACCGTATCGGCATCATGGCCGTTCATCCGGCGGTGGCCGTACTATGCTTGATGCCTTGCACTCTGATGGCATCCAACGGGCTGTGGACCTGTCAAAAGCCCTAAAGCGGCGCGATTGGTCGAAAACGACAGTTTCATCCAAAGAGTGCCGTTTGGTTCTCTGCCCTCCTGGCTCCACGAGTAATCACGTGCGCGTACGTACGCGTGAATGTGTACATATTTAAAACCTTTCTAATAGCAAAGAGATTATCGCGTCCACACTGCGATAAACCAGATGGCCGTCACGTCGGGGCCTGTTTCCCACAGAGACTGGTGTTTTGCTATTTCATACCAGCAGAACTACAGATGTATGTACTTTCTGCGGAGTTACACGTCTGTTATAAGGTACGTAGGATCATTACCATTGCCCGTTGACCCGGGAGTCATGTCCGCGGAATGTGGAATATGTCTTCTTATAAGGGTAGTATTCAGAGCATCAGAGAAACGGTTACTCGTCGCCGCCGGTACTTCTCAGAGGCATTTGTTGTGATGTATATGTGGTGAGGGCTGAGGGATACCTAGATATCGGAGTTGGTCATCCCTTCGAGCTTTCACGTGCTGTGGGTTTTTGGAGCCGGTTATTTTGCGGCTTGGAGCCGGTTCCTTTGCGGCCGCAGTTATTCCTGCAATTTGAAGACAGCGGGAGGATTGGCTTTCTGTGCCCGCGAAGGCAATTGTTCAGAAACGGTGGGACAAACAAAATAATACCGGACAGACACATCTGCGCGGAACTGCTCTCTCCGAGTTGTTTCACCGACCGTCCACAGTTGTGTAGTTGTTGAGACAATGAGCACATATCGACACAGCCTCTGATTCACCCCCGCACAACAGCACTCCTGTTGCCTTCCTTACTGCAACACTACTGGCTCTGTAACCTGGAACTCAGTAACTATGGATGTGGCTGGTCATGAAGGGGGGCCTGGCAACATGATCGGGGCAAGTTGGAACAATACCCAATTAAGGGCGCGTGCATACTGGGCGGCAGGGCGGCAGGGCGGCAGCAGCACCAGCAGAGAGAGGCGGCCGCAGTACACACGATCTTCCTTTGCCTCTGAATCAGCGCTGTGTGCTGGAACAATTTCAGCTACTTCCTCCTTGACTGGACGTCAGAAGTGAGAGGAAGAAGCACGAGACAACCGTTTCGTTCAACGGCCGCAGAACAAAACCGGTTCCATCACTCTCTGCCTGGCTTGTCCACTTAATATTCTGCAAGGCACCACCTCTATGATGAAACAATCGACGGCAAATATATGGTCGACAAAACAGGTAACTCCTGCTACTCGTTAGCGCGGTCCTTATCACGGGTCGTCTTCCGATGCCTTGGAGTCCTTCCCTACTCCAAACGCCAGCAGCTTGCCTAGCTCCCCATTGCCGTTGAGCACTGCTGTCAAGATGGCGCTCGAAAGTAGCGCCGGGTTCAAATACAGCAGTGCTGCGAGTAAAGCGAAAAAAGAATGCGGGGGGGCGGGGGGGGTGAGGCCATCGGCGGTGCCGAGTCAGCCAAGTCAGCCAAAGGAGGGCATCGCATCATTCGGATCTTGGTCAGACATGGAGAGCACAACGGGTTGCGAAGGGGCAATAGGAGGAAAGAAAATACAAGGCACAAGAAGAGCGAAACAGTAACACATGGCCGTGCCGTTTCGCGAAACTTCAACTTTTCTCTCGTTAGCTCTCTCTCTCTCTTATCACTACTAACAAGCAACCAGCTCACTGGCTGACTGGGTAAACAACGCGAACGACTTCGACAAAACCCAGACAAAAAAATGCGACAAAAACAGCAGCCCAACCGCCGAACGACCTTACGAGGTCCGTTGTGGGAAAGAGAGAGGCAGAGTGAGCAATCAAGACATACGTACCACCGAGGCCACTAAGAAACACATGTTCCTCGTGCGACCTGTCCGTTTGGATCGAGATTCCCGTCATATTGTTGGGTTGATCTTAGGATGAGACTTACCGCGGCGCACATGGGAAGACAACAAAAAAGTCGAGTGAACAACGATGGGCTCAACTCCCATCCCCACCCCTCCACCCTGCGATAAATCCCCGCCGCCGTCCTCCCATCCGACGCAAGGATGCCCAACCCCGACGGGTCGCTCGACTCATCAACAGAATGATGCCTTTATCGCATGGTAACCACTGCAGGAAACGGGATACTAGCAGCAGCATCAACACACCTGGCTGCCCGGACTTAGAGACGAAGTTCACCGTGAAGCACAGTCCCAAACCAAGCGCGTAGGCCGCCACACTGTTGTCAAAGTATGATCTGCCGCCCCCCGCCTCTCCTACAGCGCCGGCAGCTCCCGCCGCTGCCAATCTACCCCCAGGGGGGATGCCCTTCGGGGATGCCTCGGAAACCCCTGAGCCGGCCTGTGCTACCGGTGTGCCCAGGATCGAGTCTAGCCACAGAGCAATCGGGTTCTTGTTTGCTACCTCTGTCAGGAGGGCTCGGGCAGCCGCAGCCTCGGCTTGTCTGGCCCCCTCCAGGTAGATGTCGAACGACCTTGACGACAACAACAATGTCAGATGCTATGAGTTATTAAGAAAGGGTGGGCAGTGGACGGGTGTTGTGTTGCAGGTAGGGGTGGTGATTAGGTGTGTTTTCCCCGCCCCGTCCAGTTGTTTCTCCCGCCTCCCGAAAAGCTTTCGGGGTTGAGTTCTCGTCGCTTGGCAACGACGTTGTAAAACACGCCGGTCGCTTCGGGAGCTCGACAACCAGATTACCGCTAATACTTTTTCCTTTGTTTTTTATTTTCGATGACGACAATGGTGGCCTAGTACAGTAGATCATTTTGTGCTGAGTCGGGAACCCTCACTTCGCGCAAGGGGAATGATCGCACCACGTTGCGCTTATTTGGTCAAGCACCGGCAGCTACACAGCGCTCACAACTTCTCTGGAAGTGAAAGCACCAGAAACTAAACCAAGTCATTTGCAGCTGTCTGTCATCCGTACGCAAGGAAGTCGCGCAAGATGCGTAACACCCGTGGCAGGACGCAGCGCACCCCCCATGCGACTCGCAGAGTACCTCACGGCGCTACGCGCTTGGTGACGTGAGAGCCTGGTCCGGTGAGACCCGCGTGCTCCGTTCTGGCGTTGTAGGAATGCAAGGCCAACGGTCTAGCGACTACGGCATGCGAGGCTATGAGCACACAACCAACCCGCCCTTCAGTTGTATGTCGAGCGCTTTTCGCGACGATGCAGGGGGGGGGGGGCAATCCTTAGTTGCGCATAGAGGAGGGGGAAGGGGCGCATTGGATTCCGAAGCCACACACGCGTGTAGGATGGCCAGTAGCCACATCGACGACAAAAAGCCACAGGCTGAGCTGGCCGTGATATCCATCTACCGTTGCGCCACTACGACAGCATAAGCAACAACAACAGCAACAACAACAACAACAACAACAACAACAACCACAAACACTGCAATAACCCTGCAGCAGCAGCAGTACCAGCAGCAGCAGCGGCGGCGGCGGCGGCGGGGAAACTCACCTCATGAGTGTGCAAAAGGTAGCCGGTATGACGATGTCACCCAGGCCGAGCACCGAGAAGGGGTACCGCTTGGAGGGGTCCGTCAAGCTCGGGAACAGGAACTTTACGGGAGCTTCGATCTTGGTGGCCACGGTCATCTGTGCACGGACAGCACCAGCTATTCAGCAGGACCTCAAGAGGGGACACAAGGATGCCATACGTGCATAGAGAGAGACTGCTTCCAGTGTTCTGAGGCATTGGTGTCAGCGTCGGAATGGTTACAAAAATGAGACCGCGTTTGGGGCGGATGGAGCTTTGGCGCGGACTCTGAGCAAGCGATTGGCGAGAGGCGGGAAAGGGTAAGGTAAGGGTGTCCAGCACCTAGGGTGTGAAGGAGTGGAACAAAGTAAAACTGCGGCAGCAATAGTCGACCTTCGCCAGATAGGTGGTGGCCTCTACACGACAGCCAAAATTGACAGCACGGTCCTCTAGAGAAAGGCGATGGCACACACAGCACGGCTTGACGGAACGTACCATGACCTCCGTGCCGAAGACCCAGAAGATGTCGTAGCAGAACAACCCCGTCAGCAAAATCGCTGCCGCCGGAAAGGTTGAGATGCTAATCAGACCGATCGACTGAGCATAGGGCGGAGGAGCACAGTAGGGAATGGACGAGGGAGAGAGCAATGTTTACGAAACACTGCAGAGGTTACAAGTGGGAGAAACGAGACGGCGACACAGGCAGAAACAGCGATAGTGACATACCCACAACAGGTCAACAAGAGCTCTCTTATTGCCCAGCACTGAAAAAAAAAAAGTATTAAGTACAAAGTAGTCCCTGGTGTTCCGTGTGCCCCAATCTTATCTTTTGCTATTTTCCTGCTCAATGGCGAGTGCGACCCTTTTGCACCTTCACGCGCTTTTAGGGCGAGGCAATATGGCGAAGAGACGCGCTTGTTGTGCGCGGGTCGACAAAAAGCTAAGTGGTGTGATCTAGATATTTATATACACGAGGCACGTTTTAGGAATGTTGGAAATGCAACATGGGATAGTCAGGAGGACACCATGAAAAAAGCTATGCCGGTTTTCCAGTGTTGCCCTCCAGTAGAGGGTGCGTAGGGACAACTATTGCTCGCAGAGGACTCCCACTGGCCTAGGCACCCCGCCTGGCTTCAACGTGATTTTGTACCCTATATCGTCGGCAATAATCATTAAAAAAGACATGGCCAACGAGCGCACCAAACCTGCATGCCGATGCACCACGCGAACACGTTGGGGATGAGAAACTTGGCGCTCAAGCCCACCGCGGGGTTAACGTCTTTGTGTCGTCGCACCAAACGCGGTTGGTGTCCGGGAAGAGAGAAGGCACAAGAGGGAGAGCAGCAAGAGAGGAACACGGTCGGAAACAAAAAGGGGTTTCCTTTCGCTCCAGCATTGTAGGCGTGCGTCGTGCGAGAGTGGGTAAATCACCGACGGGCAGAAAACGATATTAATAGTTGAAGAGGACAGTCACATCGCGCTGTTCCGCATAAGTTTGACGGTATTCCGTAAAAGGAGTGTGACTCCATGCGCGGAACGTGATTTCGCACGAGGGGCGGCAATACTCTAGACGACACGCCGTAGAGAAACGGAACGGCGATTCGCACAAAGAATTACCCGGCGCCACGTAAAACAGTACGGTACGTATCGACGACCCGCCTGCTGCAACAAGCGTACGACTTCTCAGCAGCCCAGGAGTCACGAGAAGGAAGGAAAGGCTTCTCAAGGCCCACGCGCAGGCGGCACCAAGCAAGGCAAGGCCTATGCATACGCACCGTGTTTCTACGAACGCGAGCTATGTCTGGGTCACACAGGGCGCACACCCAGGGATTGAGGGCTGTCATCCGAGGCTGCATGGCGTACGGCAGGCAAGACGTGTGACGTGGGCACTCACAAACGAATGCCGCGGTTGTTGCCGACACCAGCACGGCAAGCTCGGCGAAGTCTAGGAGGGGTTGGTCGTCATTTTCCCAGGTCTGCGGGGGGATCGATTAACGAACGAAAACATGACCGGCGGTGAAACTTAGTACTTCAATCGTGCAATGAGATTAAGCAGGGTGTATGGCTGGATAGGGGATCAAGGAGAAGGGAAAAAGAAAATCAAGGTCCAACCCGCTTAAATAAATCTGAACGTTCGTGTTCCGAGCTGAAGGGAAAGATAAACCGATCAAAACCGCGATTCGCTAACGAAAAACATGGATACAAAGTGCTGCCGGGACACTATCGCGGAAAAGCTCGTATAAATTATGGGATGATGCCAAGAGTTGCATCGGGGAGGAGAAGCAGCTTACAATACCGCCGTACGTCGAGAGATACACGGCGCAGCACATAACCACCCTGCCGACGCACGATATTCTCCTGGACACAAGGTTAGGTCTTCTTCGCCAGAACACCGCGGGGTCGCCTAATCTCGAACGCTAAGCCCAAACCGTGATGAATGTAAAAATCATCTTTGTACAGAAGCGCACGGTTCAGACACTGTGTGCCTCCTTGCCACGATAATCGTACCTCGGGAAATGCCTTGGCGAGCACCGTGTCGAGAGGCGCTGAAACCGGCGCGTTGACCACATTCTCCGGCAGGACTGAGCGGAGGATGGGCGGGAGCACCGACACGGACGTCGCCACGCCTAGAAAAGTCGTCAAGTACTGCAACGGGGGGGCACAACAACAGCGGGAAAACCATGATGAGGCAAGGCACGATAAAGGAAAATTCCTGTGAGACACAATCGTAGCGTCAGAGAGTCGCGCCTCGAAACCAAGCCGTACGGCATGGCCGAGAAGCCACGGCAATACCATCCTCATCAAGACAATCAGTACTAACACGGTACGAGGGCGCTTCCGCTGACTTATTGATTGCTCTCTTCACAATAGAAACCCTTCCGGTTTCTGTTCAGTACCTGTTCACGTCAGCACGACCCAACTAAGGCGGACGTTTTCGATCAGCACTGGCCAAGTACCCGAAAACGTATGTACAAACACACAAAGTCAATAGAGCAACAACGACTTCGTTACTCAACTTGGATGCACCGTGTGGGGTGTCGACAGGACGTGCAGACAAAAACAAAAGAAGCAGATAAAAAAGCGCAATGCGCGATAGCCTCTTGAAATGAGGCGTTTCCAATCGGTTTCCCATCTTATATACACTGGGCAACACCAGTAAAGGAAACTGCAAGGCACAAAACATGCCTCGCGGCACAAATACCGACGGCAAATCGGCCACAAGGCCAAGAAAGACGTCAGAAAAGCAAGGCACCGACCAAGCAGAGAACACCACGCCGTCTGAAGACAGCTCTCTCTCTCGCGGAAAAATAAACTCGCCTGGTAAGCGATCCCGACCGAGATGTCGGTGTACTTGAGGAGGGCGAACACGCCGAAGAGCGATACCGAGGCCGCAAAAGGCGCGCCGAAAGCTTGCGCAGCGGTGATGGGATTCCGCGTCTCCTGTGGCGGCGCGCGATACGATGGTAGGGGTGGTGAGCCAGGCCCGTGTTTCGATACACACCTTTCGTCAATGAATACATGCACCAAGTTTCCGTTCGCAGTTTCGAAAGGTTGTTGTCTGGTTTCAAGAAGGTTGTACAGTTGCAAGTACCGTGTTACAAACGGCCTGATGACAACAATGGTACCGCAAAGTAAACAAGGTTGGGAGACGAGATAACTCTGTCTCTGAGGACGAAGCCAACGAAGAAGAGCGCAACGGCTATTCCCAAGCAAGAACAGGGGAAGGCAGCCTCTCGACAAAAGGACATTTGCAGAAAGGAATGGGTAATACGCAGTAACACGAGATTAGGTTCAAAGCGCTGCGAAACAAGACCAGGTTAACAGGAACCTATGACAACATTGGGGGATCTCCCCCCCCCGAGCACCACATGCTCGTCTTCGCCGCTCGGCAAACAGTGCGCTCGTGCGCTGTTATCCCGTCGCCGCGGCACACCGCGCTTCACGCAGGCCCCCCCGTACGCCGGCGGCGGCGTATCTGTTCTGCTTGCAAGTAGTGCATTAAGCGGAATCCGAGTCAACTCACGTCCGGGATGTCCATCCTCTTTGATCCCAGGTACACCGTGCTGACGGCTAGCAGGCCGAAGTAGACGAACGATGCAAGCTTGTAGCCGATGAGGAGGGAAGGGAGCAGCTGCAGCGCGAACAATCCAAGGTAGCTGCATTCGGCGAAGAGAGATTGCAACAAACGGATAGATCACTTCGTTAACGACAGTACCGCATTTTCAAGATACAAGCATGAGGTTCCGCTTATAACGCCACAAACGCGTTGAAACGCGAAATCGTGTTGGTACAAGGCCTCCCGACGTCACCGCTGACGTCACACCGATACCACCGACACCGCAGCAGGTCGCGCCGCAAGACCACATCGCGCATTAGAAGCGACACTGGGCAAGGAACTAGGGGCGAATCTCTTGATTGGCGTGCGGCACATGGGGGCTTTTCCCCCCGTAAACAATCGACGAGGGTGCATGTGCCAGCATGAAGCACCGAGACAGTGATGGCTGTGAGTAAAAGAACACAGGCGCAAGGTTTTGAGCAGGCCACAGCAGTATTCTGCAACAAGGGGTGCGACCATCGCCCCACTGCTACCTACGTAGACTGGGCCTTGACAAAAAAACGGGGTATTCTGTATCCACGTGCAGCAGCCGTCCTGAAAATTTAGGAAGAGCGGAACCATGAACATCATCCACAATAACGTTCGGCATCAACGTGACAGTCTGAGATACATGAGCTGTTACAGATATTTGCTCGATCTTCTACTGTCTCCGACCGATCTCACAGCACCCTCGGACCGGGAGTAATCTTCAACATTTCCAACAGAATCGAACCGGAGATACGGTTATCGCACTCTTTCTGCGGCATGTTTTTGAGGAGGTGCCAGTCACGTCTTGGAACGTTCTTCATTCACGATACATGTTCATTGTAACTGCCTTCCGGTGCCATGCACTCTCTCAACGCATTCTTGCACAACGCCAGTGTAGGTGGGAAGCGACATCTTCTCTTAGACCATGCTGCACCCCTCTCGGGAACTGGTGTATCTATCGAGATATTCTGAAGCTATGTTCACATCTACCGACCAGCAGCATACCGTAAATGACACAAGATAACACCCCTTGGACCGATTTTCACATCTCGATTTCTCAGCCGCAGAAAGAGTCACAGCGCCGAAAACGGTGGCGTTGAAGCTGTATCGTCGAAAGCTTTCCGAAAATGCATTGTTTCATTTACGCATCCTCTTCGTCGCGGCGTAATCGAGCTTTGAAAATTGGTCCAGGGGGTGTGCTATCTTGCGTCATATACGGTAGCCTACACCGCTGTATCCCACCTTGTATCTATCGTAATGTCTGGCGTCTTGCATGCAGTAGGAATCACTGTCGGACATCAATACGAACAACGCCACACAAACGAGAGGTTGGCTACCAAAGGAGATATTGGTTCTCCTAACCACAGGCGGTGAGAACGTCAGCCTAGCTGCTGTTTGTGTTGTACGATGGCTTGTATTACCGCCCGGACGGTTGTGACACATGAATCGGCCAAAATTCAAACTCAGGCCATTTTTTTCTGACTCGACAAAGCTCACGATGACATTCACAAACACTCACACATTCTTGTCCTCCTCTACAAGAGCCGCCTCCACCTCAGCAGGATCAACCGTTTCCCCCTTAGCTTCAGCTGCCGACGGCTTTGAGACCATCATGACACCACCACAACCCCTCCGCTTGGCACCATCATCACAGGCTCGTCTGCTGACACGCGAAGAAAATGCCGCATTGCTCCTTGTGGGAAGACTAGCTCGCCGAACTGCCCGGTGTGGTGCGAGCCCCGTGAAGCATTGGACGCTAGATAGCCAGCAACCGGCCACCAGCAAGGACGCGAGAGTTCTCACGGAACCTCTCATGATACAGGAGATGTGCGGTGGCAGGCAGCAGGCACGTGCTCACACGCCGAGTCCATAGGGGCACCCGCACGCCGCAGTTTTCGTGTGTCAGTGGGGGGGGGGATATGCTTTCCCCCGCATGTGCTCTGCTGCTGCTGGTGCCTCACTGCACTCAGCACACTGAACGCAACACCATGCAGCTGCTCCTGTGCCTGCTGGCCTTCTTCTTGGCGGGCCTCATCCCGTCAGCAACGGGGTTCTTGGTGGTGCCACGTTCCCCGCCAAACTTCTCTCGACAAACCTGTAGGACGGCGACAGCATTGCATGCCCAGGAGGAGGATGCCGCAGTAACAGCGCCGCCTGGGTCGAGCGATGATGCCTGCCCGGGCTACCCCCGCTGCAGCGGCGAGTACCGAGACAGGGGATGCGATGGCACAGGAAGGTAGGCCACATGCGTGTTTATGGACGAGCCGCTTCTTTCGAGGTGACAATTCATGTGTACGTCGCACACACTGCTGCCTGCTGCGGTGTACATGTGATACATGTGGACACGCACAAGTATCATGTTGGCTCTCGGGGACGTCCTGAAATCATGCGACATTTGTTGCGCCGCACATGTTCAGCGCTGCGGCGAGAGTTCTCTTGAACGGGTGCAGAAGGCATGCTTACACCATGTCGGGTTCAGAGAAGGAGGCTCAAAAGAAGAGTAATAGGACCGAGGTTTGCCAGTGTTCATCTCACCGATCCTTACGTGTATTTCTCTCTTGACCGTGAGCCCTGTGTGTCGTAAGCGTAGACATGTGACAGTAAGGAGATCCAGCATCCATCGCGTTCAGTGTCATCACGAGGTACAAAGTCTATGTATGAGTGCACGCCGATAACTACCGTGAGTCGCTTCAACCGGAAATTCCAATGGTGGTTACACCCAGCTTCCCGGGACCTCCTCCCTGCAGAATATGCATCGTAACGCTCGTCTTGACTTCCTGGCGGGGTCATGAGCAGGTCTTCAGTTCAGCAACAACCACTTTATAATAATACCAATTGGAACAGGTTTTCGACGGTTACCCCTTTCACAGAGGGCACCACATGCTTATAATCCCAGTGCCCCCCCATCTCTCTTCCCGGGATCCCCACAAATCCTGCGCGTTTTATTGCCAGGGCCCTCCTCGCCCTCGCCCGTGATCGAAGTCCATGACAAGCGTTCCATAAATCCCGCGAGTACATACTTGTACACGGTTTTCTTTCGCCGCCACCGTGCCCGCGTTGGCAGTTGACGGATTACGTTCCACCTCGGAAGCGAAGAAAGCTTGGCACTTTCTGCAGTCCCGCTTTATGTGCGGTCATTTACCGATTGATACATTCATCGAAGCGAAAACGGAGCATGTATTTGGGTGAACCTTTGATTTCGCTTCTGCCCCGCGGTGGACTCTTGCTTGGAGCAGAATTTCGGGGGGCGTCGGGGCGCTGGTTCCGTGGCTGCCCATCAAGGCCTACCGCCCTTGCCCATCTTTCACGGAGGCCAAGTACAAGTACACGCGCCAGGGGCAGAGCTTGAATGAGGTGAGAACGCGATGTAGGGTATGCCACTCGGAAGCGCTTTAGTACGTACCTGGTAGTCGACAATGGCCACTTCGAGTTGAGATCCCCTCTGACGTCATCCGCATTTTGACGCGATGGTTTGTTCGCCCGAAGCTCACAACACCACGAAAACGCTGTCGAGCGGAGACACCAACCCTTTCGAAACCGATCCAGATCGCAAGGAATCTCCCCCTTGCCGTCAGGGCGCGAAGAGCAAGCTCGCTGCAGGACGACCAGGCAGTGGTTGCGCTACATGATCCATCTGCAACGTTTTCGATACAAGGGCCTCGATATAGCCGACACGAAGGACATGCATGGAACCATTGCAACAACTGCCGTCGTGCCGACGTCGTGAATTGTTCGGGAATGCAGGTTGTGTTTGCTCGCCGTCAGGGCACGATGGACGATATCACAATGGATGACTCGTTCGGCGCGATGAAGGAGGACGCGGACGTACCAGCACCGGGCGGAACAAAGGAAGCCGACGACGGCAAGGACTGAACAATTTGTGGTTCAGCCACGGGACGAATAGAGAGATAGACCAAGTCCTGTTTCACATGCCGTGCAGGAATAGAGCGCGTCACAATGAGAGACCCCGATTGGTCATGGTCGTGGTTTTCGTTCACGCGCGCCGCCAATATGGTCAAGAGCTAATCTTGGTTGCCTTCCTTGTGTCTGATGGCGTAGATACCATTTTCGCCGGACCCTTTGCTGTACACTGGATGAGGTCAAATAGATACGAGGCCTTGGGCGTGAGAGGCTTGAATGCGATGTTGTCGGTTTTATTCTCCCGTAAGCGGGCGAGCTACGCTCACACCAGGTCCTGTTTCTACGACCAATTCTCGGATTTTGAGACCCCTTTTTCCAGGTGACGTGTTGTGAGGCGTTGAATGCCACAACGAGTAGGTTGTCGCGCATTAGGTCAATCCAAGGATCCCTGCGACCGGAACCGGGGGGAGCCGCGGCTGTACCATGGTATGCTTGGTGGTACGCACAAGCACATATTATTCAGTACGGCTTGGCCTTCCGTACTGTGACGGGGAAGGGGCAGAGTGCCCACACGTTTGATCTAGATAGTACACCAAGGCGTTTTAGGTAGCCTGGGCTTGTATGGCAGATAATATCAAGCGAGATGATGGCCGTAGGTTATCTAGCCTTTTCGAAGCAACGGACCTCCAGGGGAAGAGAGAGGTCTCGGAGAGCGCAAACCTTGCGGTTCGGAGAGTAGTAGGCGCAGTGGTACCATGTTTCAAATGAGACCGCTAGAGCTAGCCAACGAATACGCGACTGCCAGAAAGAATGTTTTTGTTGTCGCATGCACTTCAATAGGCAACGCGTACTCTTTCTTACACAAGAGCGGATCGTTGGCGAGTTCTCAATCTCTGGCATTTCTGTGGTACGCGAGCCTTCCGCCCTGGCCACGGCATTTTTGCGGCTATCTCAACACCGAGGCGCTCTGAACAATGGCGTTCGACCTCGGAACTGTTCTTTGGCGTACGGGGATGAACAGATCACCGAGTTGATGCCTCTGGATCTCATCTGACAAGCCGATGTTGTTTTCGACATTGTGTCGAGAACCCGGGAGTGCTTGGTTGTGGGCCCCTCCAAACACTGGGTTTGTCGGACCAGACTGCACAAAGATTTGTGTCCACCCCAGGCGACAGTCACCTCCACTTCGCTTGACCCTCATGAGGATGCCCGTGCAGGATGCAGGTTCTCAGGTGTGCGGCTCTGAAGGTGTCTTGCACGATGTCTAGTCCACCCCCTGTGTGATGTGTATTGATCCTGCGTATATTCGCGACCCCACGCAGGTTGTTGGTGTCCACAGCGTACTTTCCGGCGATGCAGTAAAAGACAGACCCATGACTACAGTAGAACGCAACGTTTTCCCACCGAACTGCTACCATTCGGTACTGCACACGGAAAGAAGAAAACACCCCGGTGTCTACCTCCTCCTGTGGGACCCTGGATGGTTGTAGATTAGTTGTACAAAAAATACACTGAAAAGTGTAGTACTCTGACACACGTGTATGGTAAACCTCTCGCCACGAAAAATGGGGGGACTGTAGCCACGAATAAGACGAACACACAATACTCACACGGAAGGGGCTTCCTCCTGTGTTAGGCGGGCTGAAATCCACACGGTACTCTCGCCAAGTGAGGTCGCCACCGCCCCTTCCAATCCCTCGCAACCGGAATATCCACGAACATGTCCGAGTTGACGTTTTCGTTTCCGTCGGTGGACTGCGTGCGTCCGCGAGCACAACGGATTTTATCGGCTCTCCTCTTTTCCCTATCTAGCTGCAAAAGTGGATATCGCAGCTGTTTTCCTTCGTCTAGCGGGATGGGTCCAAGGACCATGGGCTTTGCCGCCCCACGTCTCCGGCTGGTGCTGCTCCTACCGTCGTAGCAGCTGCTAGTTCCAGCGAACGTGAGGCTAGTCATGGAATTCAAGCTGCTGATTCCAATGGCTGCGACAGGCGAGAGTGAGTCTTGAGTGATGGTGCCTGCTGGCGCGGTGCTTGGCCGCCAGCATGTGGACGCCGAGCATACGCGTCCAACTGTGTGTGGGCTGCTGGCCGAGCCGATTCCAGCGAACCCCAGGCGGTTGGAGCCAGTCCCCTGCTTCGAGGACGTTGGTATCGGCACAGCAGATGCAGCGAATGTATGACCAATCCTATATTTGCCAACTTGAGAGGCACGCCACCTGGACATGCAAATCATGACACGTGACCATTCAATCTTTCCGCTGTGTGTGCATGGCCTCAAAGCCTTGCGCTTTCATTGTACACTTGCTGATGATCGCCCCGCCCTCTCCCCTTGGCCTAGTGATTTCCGACAGTGCGTCACCTCGCTAGTACTCGGTCTGGACATCCGAGAGTAGCTCCTGTCCGCCTCATCAAGTCCGTCGCCGTTCAAGATACCAATGGGTGTGCGTCGCCACCACCTCCTCTTCATAACTGACGCCGAGAACAGGTGCAAGCACACGCCGAAAGTGTTAGGCACATACACCTGGTGCAGGATTATTCCCACGTAGATACTCCTGAAGGGCAAGCCCAAAGCAAGAGGCAGGGGTGTAGCGTCGAGGCGGACGAGAACGACAGTACGATGTAGCGACGACCATAGGAGTCTCAAAGAGGAATGAAAAGTAAATGCCGTCGTAGTTGTTGCATGGTGGGGTGAACGTACCTTTTCTGTGGTGAAGTACCTTGCAGTTATAGTCTACTGGCGGTGGTGTTGTCCCGTAATTGCATTGTTCGGCGGTAGATATAAGCACCCTGAACGTTGGGTTGACTCGAGCGTCAGATCCCCGTCAAAACATGTTGTCCACAAACGAACAGCCGTCACCCATCACATGCAAGTGGACCACAATAACAGGAGACACACCTACCGTCATAATTCTCCCAACGGGCCTCCACTTTGGCGAGGTGCAGCTCTCTCTTGCGCAAAGCGTCTCGTAGTCCCTCGGCCGTGTTGCGGATAACCTTCGAATTGACAGCCGAGTTCTCAGGGCGTTTGGAACATGTCTGCTCCAGGCACTCAGAGGGGAGGTTATCCTACTTGGAAACTACGAACAGGTATTTATCATCTCGAGAGCATATCAATACGAATAACCTCCGGTGAATTTCCAGGCGCGGCAAATCAGAACTGCTTTTTCAAAAGGAGAGTGGCATGCCCGAACAAGGCCAGTTGCTTCAGACATTTGTACCTCCCTCGCCGAAGCCCCTTGTTGAGGCTGACCGCTCCTCGCGGCCGCCATCGTGGTTCGCCCGCTTGAACTTGACCAGGCAACAAAGTCATCACCGTTGCCGGACGGTGCGGTCTGCCCGGGCGCTCCACGTCGCTGGTGGCCTTCACTCGAACCAATGAATGCGGACAAACAGGGTCATATTTTTCTTGCCTTTCAGAGGGGGATAGCAGCTAACACTCGCAGTAGGGACCAAAGCACGGCGTGCCACGCCCGGTGGGGCACCACGCCTGACGGGAGCAGTTGGACGGCAGCAAATCTCCTATAATAGATGTCGCCCACAACAGTTTCATGGTTCTCGCGCAACACTCTCGCACCTTTCGAGCTGTTTCCAGTCGCGGAAGCAACAGCGGCCGCCGATCGAAAATGACCACCTTGACGAGCGGACGTTGTGCGTGGCCGGCATCTCGCTGTAGGTCTTCCTTTCTCCCGTGTTGCGACCGGCGCCGTCGACGAACCGCTTCCCAATCGTGGCTGTGACTCCCGCGGGAAGGCTTGCTCTTGCTGCCCGGTGCTGGTGGATTTTTGTTCGGTGTAGTGTATTGGTCCCCCTGCGGCTGAGGCAGCGCTGTGGACCTCGTTACGCTCCTGAGCCAGCACGATACCCTCCAATACGGCGTCGTACCGCTTTCGTTCTTCCGCTGAAATCGTCCGGGCTGGGACCACACCTGTTGACGGAGGCAAGCAGCATCGGTGATTGGACCGAAAATCGGTTTGGAAGCACTGACGCGGAACACTGAGCTACAGTAGTGCCGCAGGCGATCGTGCACACTATGCTTTGCGTCGCGATGCGTTTCGCTGAAAGGTTTAGGATAGTCGTTGCTCCGCGTCGTGCTGATGAACAGTTGTTGTGAGAATGCCAGCAACAGCACTACAGAAGGTGTATCGGAATGGTTCCCGACAGATGCCGTATTCCGTACCGTTGCTGGCTGTGGATCCACCTGATGGCCTTCCCGAGCCACCGCTACCATCACCATCCCCGCCGCTGACAGGCACAGAGTATAACTGCCCACATGATGCACCCATGCCATCGTTATGCTTCGTGCTGGCGCGAATCGCGCAGCCCGCTCCGGTAGCAGCGAGTCTGGGTGTCCGGGCAGAGGGTGCCAAGTTTCTGGCTGTGTCGATGGAGGAATCACTCTCGGGGAACTGGCAGCAACCCATTTCAGGCTGTCCTTTATTCTCACTGTCTGGCATCCAGAGCGAAGCCGTGCCAGGGGTCGGGAATTTCTCCGCGACCGCGGCCATGAGAACCTGATGCGAAGAACAACCGAGCGTGTTCAGGTCTAGGTTGGCATCGGGAAGCGTACGCAGGCTTTTAGAACTTGACGTACAAAGCATAGACTACTCCAGGCCGGATTGATACCCTCAGATGTCCTTGTTACTGCTATGCTGTCGAATGTTGCCCACCTTCCTGCGATATGCAGCGAGCCGGGTGATAAAAGCCGGCGCGCCTGAAACAAAGCCGGTGTCTGCTGCAGCAGCAGCCGTCTGCAGGGGCGTATCTCCGCCCCCTGCATCGCCCAACGGGAGGGATGGAAGGCAGGGAACAACCAGGCCATGATCTCAGAACCATTTCTTGCGTTTTTATATGCGGGTTTGTGTATGTAGACACATCTTCCCCTGCACGGTCAACATTCCGTGGGTCGGTGGTTAAACGTCTCACATCAATCTATACATGAAGAACATTGCGATGACGTATTTGTGGCTTAGTTTTGGGATCGGTGTCCTGTTCCGGTGCTGACCATTCCATCATTGATTTCAGCCTACCCCCCTAGCACCTTGAGCAATACCGGACCGTTCGTTAGAATCGTGCGGCGACACGCTAACGCCCTGGCCAGGTTCGCGTTCAGCAAACTTGCTTGGCGACAGCTGGAGGCATTTCATGTTTGCTCAAGAGTACGTGATGAGGATGGAGAGTTCGTTGACGATTGTGACACAGAATCTGGAGGTCTTTTCGCTAAAGACGTTCCTGCAGCCCGGGTGACTTGGAACATATGCATACCAGAGACCGGTCGCACGACAACCAGAACACGGAAAGGGTGCCTTCTACACCTACCTCCAAGTCCGAACCCCCACCAGTCTCCTTCTCCACGCAACAATCGAAACAATCCTTCCTTCTCGAGGTCGCTCGAGCAGCACGCCAGGAGAGCCGCGGTGAAGCTCTTGACGGAACACAGAAGACCGTTCGTATCCCGGGCTTCGGCGAAGACGATTCTCTGCACCTGCTTTGTTTGAGAATATTGACGGCATGATATGGGGCAACGAACGTGATATTAGCAACACTTTACCGTATTGACCCGGATTTGAGAAGTGGGCGTTTGAGTAGTGGGCCCCTTTGAGTCGAGCGTCCACGCGTGTCGTTCGGGAGTCGACTCACACATTGTCTCCACGATTACGTTGTGCGGTCATGCTTGCCTACATGTACTTCACTATGCGAAGGTGTACCGATTCTGGTAAAAGTCAATCGACGGATACCCTGCGAATCGGGTCCTCCTTAACACTCTCCACCCACAGAATTTACCCTCAACTGGGAACCTCTTGTGGCCAGGACGGGTAATTCGATGGAAGTGTCACAAGGTTGAGGTGTTCTCAGGACTGACACACATTGTGTCCATGGGAAAAGGTCCAAGTCAGGAGAAAAAACGTGCACCCAAGGAGATTCGAACCAGTATCCAGCTGACGCCATAAGCGAAGGTGTACCGATTCTGGTAAAAGTCAATCGACGGATACCCTGCGAATCGGGTCCTCCTTAACAACTACGCTCGAACACCGTTCTACGGTCGATCGGGAAGTAGTGATGCCATCTCCACTTAAAAGACAGGGATTGAAACTTTGGCTAACCCTCTCTCTCTCTGGGTAATGTTGCCGTCCTTGCTGTAAGTTAGTACGGTGTCGATGCACCTGCTTGTAATCGTAGTTTAGCCCGAGCGTGACGACCGCGTCAACAACCTCAGTGCCGGATACCCCTTCTGAACCTTTCCGAGCGGCCTCGAACCAGTCGCGTAGTGCCTGTTTCACCGCCACCTGCATCTTCGCACTTGATCGACCAACAAGGGTCCGGTTGAAAGTTGCGGCTTGAGTTGTTTAGACCACATGGGTTTGCTCTTCTCCGACCCGTTTACCGTGGCGCCAAGTTGCAAGAAGCTTTTGAACCCTCCTACACGCTTTTCACAAGTTGCCGGGCAGAGATCATGATCTGCTCCGGATCGTGGTACTTGGCATTTCCAACCAAACCGATATCGTTCCGTCGTACAGCAGTAGGCCATGCATCTTCAGACAACACGTAGTACGCTGACCTTCTGGAGTTCCGCCCGGCCCATTTGTTTGTGTCAGCCACACGCTTCTTTTCTTTCAAGCGGCCCACCCTGTGGCGCAGCGCCTGCCTACTTTGTTGAAAACCACGAGCAAGCAGCGGTGCCGTTCGCTCTCCTTCAGTGGAATCACCAGAGCCAAACAATGTTCCGTTTTGTGTGTATTCCACAAGTACTGATACACGCTACGTATTCACGGCAGTGGTGCAAAGGCCCAACTACAGGCTACCACCGTGTGGGACACACCCAAACCTTTCGCATGGCTATCCCTCGAGGATCCGCCCCTTCAAGTGACTTTCGTCTATGTTATTCCTCCGGGGGGGGGCTGACATTCTTTCATTCTCCGCTCAGTTATTGTGGCACCACCGCAGATGCTGAAATTTGGTTTGTCGCGCATGCCACTGCTGAGCGTATCACTGTGGTCATCGTTCTGCAGTACTGAAGATTTCCGACGTAATGGAAAGTGGGACATCAAGAAACTGACTGCAGTACACACATTTACCGCAGTACTCTGATGACACGATCATGACCTACAGTATCGACACACTTACTTGGCCCTCTCGACTCGATGCCATTCGATAGCACAACAGGACTCTGATTCCGTTGCAGGTCGATCCTGCTGGCTATTGTCCGTCATGATCAATCCCTGGGAACGAACCGGCAGACTGCGCAGAGCTTCGCTATGGACGAAATTGTGGACGAACTGGGAAGGTGCTTCCCTGGTACTGTAGCCTCTCTGCCTTCCTCCTGCCTTCCTCCTGTCTTCTGTCGTCGCGCGCTGCCATTCGCACCCTGTTCCTAGAAAATACTTCTGAATACATGAGTACAGTCACAAAGAGACGTTCCGGTCGATACATACCCCGAACAGGGCGCCGTTCGGGTTCGGAACTGTCCGCACGACGCAATCGGCAATCAATGAAACCGTCATTACGACCACGGACGGGAACAACACCCGAAGACGAACCGGAACATTTTTTATTCCTCCGCTTTATTATCCCTCCGCTTATATGTGAAGGCGCGGTATGCCGTGTGCCTTGTACACAAGGGCAACGTGACGCGCTGCTGCTCCCTCGCTCACCCTTGGGAAACCTGTAGCCACTCTTGCCAGCAAGCGAAAGTCGGGGGAAATATCAGCCATGCCGGTCCGACCCCGAACGGACACATCGCCCGAACGTTCCAAGTCACAGGGGATCTCCTTTCTCAAGCCAGATACTTTTCCAGGCCTACGGCAGAACAACGTGTTGGGTGAGAAGCGATATCTAGCGTGCGCTGCAATTCGATCTGCTGTGGAACGTCAGACTACATATTTCGGCAAAGTGTATGGACGCACCAACCCGGCGACACATGAGATCAACTGCACATTATTTTTTTTTATCTCCGCTGTCAAATGTGCTGCGTTCCTAGATAAGTTTCATCCGTTGCCTTTCTCTCGGTAGCCTTGATTCCGTGTATGGAACCCCTAGAAAACGCTTTCTAAACTTGGTGGGCATGGTGCAACAAAAGAAATCAATTGGACGAACGGTGCCAAAACCCAAACTCAGGTCCTATCCTCAGCAGCAGCTGGCATGTAAGCGATATTAAAGTCCCGGCGTGGGCACTAGGATAAGAGAACGATTAGATTACTTCACTCTAAAATCCCTATCGGCAGCTAAATAGTGCCCTCAATGATCAACAAGAGTATGAGAAGACTGTTGACATTGTAGGGGTTTCAGAGTGGGGACAATCGAGGGAACACTTGATGCGGGATTTTTGTACGAAAGGAGATGTACGTCGCACAGTAGTGATGTAAACATCTTATTATCCACCTTGTTCGCTGAAACATCCGTTTCCTATCTCGATCAACGCGTCCTCCCTACTCGTCAGACAGATAGATATCGTCACGCACACACCCGAAACAATGCTAAAGATAACAATATGTGGCCCAAGGTGCATCTCCCATCACTTGGGGAAAAGCACATTCAGTATGAATTCCTCGCGTAGAATTCCAGGTCTAGAAGCACGAAACCAAACAGGGTACGTAGGGAACCAACCTACTGTAGAACACATAAAAGCTTCCCAAAAGAGCCTATTGTTCGGTTTCTGAGTCTCGAAAAAAGAGAGCTCGGGCCCACCAATACAACAAACTCGACCAACTGTTATCGGATTCTTCGAGTCGAGAATGACACGTTGAGTTTCGCAATCCGTGCTCCCTGATACGTGTGTCCCGCCGACAAACCTAACTCTTTCACTACACGACGCGCGTCATGTACACCGGGAATTCATTCCATGGGAAAAACTCAGTCCAAAGTGGCCAGTCCCATACTACAAAGGTGGAACGAATATGGTTTCTTCGTAGCGGAAACTTACCGTTGGACTGGAAACCAAAGAAACTGCAACATTGATCATGCAGCAAGGCGGCGAAATGCCCCGTATACTCTTCATTGGCTACAATTACCCCCACAGTATGCCTTCTTGCAGGGACATCGAACACGAACATACATCCTGCAACAGCTTCGGCGATCAACGAGGGTGCGGGTGGCGAAGACGTGGTACTGATAATATGGCGAGCAGGAAAAATACGTAGGTCAATGATAACGACTCCAGTTCCTGAACAAATACCCTTGCTCGTGCTCATCTTCTGCGGCAGCCGGTCTCCAAGCGGAGAACCCCTCGTCGCCCGAAGACGCCGGGGCATCCCTAGCTGTTGACGCCTTCCTGATCAAGAATCGGGTACCAGATTCAGACTACGACCCGCAAAACGCAGGGGGTACCACCGACGATGACGGGACACGAGGTCGACATCCGCGTGGCGTGTTCCACGCGCATGCCCACGACATGGCGTACCTGGAACAGTGGATCGGAGAAATGTTGGACATCCGGCGCGATGTCAGCGGCGGCGAGGCCGTTGGCCCCGAAGGCGTTAAGCCACAGTACGTTTCGGGAGGGGTGTTACGGGATTCGTATGCGTTAGAGTCGTTGTGCTCAGACTATTATGACGAAGACGCCGGAGTTAAAGGGCTCAGGCATGCGTGTGCAGGATGAATCTGGTACACTTCGGCAACGCAATGATCTAAGCATCGTTCGTGCGCCATCCATTCAGATGTGCAAAAACTGGTTATAGCAAAACATTTTGAGGTACTCGAGGGACATTCAACAGGATCCCAAGATACGTTTAGGGAACGGTTTCACAAATCATGCAATTTGATCCATTTTTCTAGACACGTTTGAAGGATTATTTGATTTGGGGGTAGGGTTACGTGTGGCAATGGTCGCCACCACGATACCCTATACTTTTGTGTATGCTTGTCGTACATGACAACAAAGCAGGATCTGTGATCATACCCCGCGCGCCGTGGGCATGCGAGCTCGATATCTCACGCGCGATATATGCCTTCCTGTCCGCTTCCCAGAGTATCGCCTCCACCGGGAAAGGATCCTGAATCGAAACGAGAAAGTTTAACACACCTTTACAACGAGAAGGCGCTCAGATACGGCATTGTCTTCGACGAGCTCATCCGGCAAGTGGCGGTGCACTCCATGGCCCTGGCCACACTTGTTGGGAAGGTGAGCAAACGGGAACAGGGTTACCAATCCCCCTTTTATGGGACGCCGCCTGCCGGATATTTTCACGATAAACCTCACCCATTTCGTGGCGCTACAGGAACGAGGTGATAACAGCAACTTTTATTCAATAAACCCAGCTTCACTCGGGGTGCTTGGTCGTGAATCAGAAATCAGAGCAACAGGCTGGCTTCCTGGTAGTATGAAATTGCGTTGTAGCTATCCTCGCCGCCACGCTTTGGTAGCATCTGCATCTTCACTCTTAACTGTGACGAAAGTATTCGGCGTCGTTCTCGAAGAGTGTCATCGGCAGGCAGGAGGAAGAGGGTGTGCCCCCCAGCCAGGTAGCACTCGGGAAAACTCAGGGGAGTACACACGGCATCACATCTTTCCAACATTTGAACTGCGCCGAAGTGCCTTCAGAGCCCTTTCGGAGTGTCGAGCAAGTGTTCTCGGCTTATCAATCTGCCGCATTGTCCGTTCCCGCATCCTGAAAACTGAACACTCTCTGTCGCTCCCTCTCCTTCATGAGTGCTCGGTGTTTTACGGGCATCCGGACGCGACAAACTTCATTGCTAGAGATAGCCTCTTCCAACGTCATCCCTGTACCCGTTTTCGGCTGGTCTTGGTTTTGACAGGCCTTCACGGGGCACCACGCCCTGCTCACTCGCCTGATCAAGGTCCATGATGCCCGTGAGGGCCAGCTGCAAAAACTGCAGGTCAGCACCAACGAACACTGTTGCATGCTGATGATATCGGGAAAAATCACCGAAAGTTGCTTCATTGGTTTTGACCACCATGTCGCAAAGTACGTAATCGAAATCACTCCAACAGAGCACTATGAAATTCACGAGTGGTGAGATTGTTTGAAGCATATTCGTACAGCGAAAATGCGTTGTAGTAAAGTGAGATTGCCCTGTGGCCTCGAAACTTGGAGTCCTGCATATTGAGGATCAGGGCGGGTTAGTTTCGGGAGTTCTGGGTTTTGGTTGAAACCTTCTACATAGGTGAGGCCAAACAATCCAAAAGCAACAGACGTAACCTATGAGCACAGCGAAGAAAGCAACGCGCGACAAGAGAAAGAAGGTGCATAGGCACGATCTCGCGAGCGTGGAAGTGAGAACATAATGGAGGTGGCCCAATCCGTTGCCCAGCGAGGGAAACATCACAAGCACCTTCGTCAACAACAGAAGAGGAAAACCTCCGTCATTCTCGAGCAGCAGCAGCAGCGACAACGATATCAACCTCCAGCGCGTTCCACAACGAAAATAGGCCCAGCTTGCTGGCTTGACGGGTGAGTCAAACCGAAAGATGAACGAAGAGGATGCCCTCATCGAAGAGCAAGCTTTCATGGAGAATCTCACAAAGGCCGAGCTAAGGGAAAGTCGGGCGCTGTGCTCCTCCTTGCGAGTCAAGCTCAAGTACTATGGAGACGAAGTTGCCAGACTCAGGCAAGGGATGAACTTCCCGTTGTACACACCGTGCGGATTTAGAGACAGGAGTAGGGAAGGACGTTGCAAGGCCAGGGTAGGAAGTGCATGGGGATAGTTTTTGCTTCAGGAAGCAAGTTTATCCTGGCATGAGTTGTGATCGAACGAGCATTCTGTTCTGGATAAAACCAGTGGTGGGTAAACACTCCCGGTAGAGGTAGAAGCACCAACTCCATATTCATCGCCGAGTTCCATTTAATCTTCCGCCAGTTTTGAAACGGAGTTAGCGAAGAAGACGCGGAGGCTGCTCAAAGTGGCCAAGTTTGTGGTTAAAACAACGAAGACATTCCGTCCACATTTGAAAACGACATCACGCTCGATACATATTGAACCTACTCATCAGGCAAATTGTTCTGGACAAGGTTGATGACGATGAGCAAGGACCGAGAAATGCCAAGGTCCACAACTCTTTGACCGAAGACGGCGTATCCATGCCGATTCTTCCGGCAGGAAAGAAGGCCGTCGTCTTGCCGAAGTCACCTGCACGAAAGGCGAAAACAGAGGTGATCCGCATGGAGTCGTGTTTGCCGTACAAGTGCGCGCGGAGAACAACGCCAGATCTCCTTTATTCTGTGTCCGTCGTTTCTGGTTTGTTCTCCGGATGGCACTGTTACCGTGGAGTTGATCAAGGCCAGGTTCGCCTCATGCGGCCTGGTAGCTCCTGCAACGAACGACGGGATGTTCAGTACAGTAGTTACTGTTTCAATAGTTCTGGGGAGTTTTCACTGACGTCGTTTCTCACAATGGTTCCGTGGTTGGAATAAACATCGCTTCCTCAGGCCAACGAAAAATCCATCGTTCTCATTCGTTGGTCCTGTTGACGTTACGGCAGAGACCGTCTTTAGCTGCAGACGACGTGGTGACGATCTTGGAGCTGTCTACCGAAAAGATGAACATGCACGCGAGGCACGAGACCGAGCTTAACAAGATGCTGTCCCAGATCAGCACCGAGAGCAGCAAGCAAACAAGTGTGAGCTGTCCCGACCAAAGCCTGATGAGTGTTTTGGCGCCCGTAATGACAGGATTCACTGACGACATGCACATCCACCTTCCTTCGTGTTCGTTGCGAGATTCCGCTCACCAAAAACGAAGTCGAAGGTTGGCACCAAGAGAAGCAAGCTCGCGAGAGTGAGCATTGGTTAGGCTTTATCATAGTAGTGCAGGCAACGGACAGGCACACACTGCGCAGTTCTATGACCACGGTACTTTCGTAAAGCTCATGTGTACACAATTTCCTATCAAACAAGCATAGCAAGAACTTGGAGAGGTGAATACGAAGCTGTGCACTAAGCCTAGACGCAGACGAACGAACATCGTGACCATCGTTATTTAGCGATAGCCAAAGACGTGAACAAAGAATCAAGGTTTTATCGATCCAGCCTTGCTCCCTACTTCGAGCTCGTGCGAGTGACCTGCTCTGAGAATATGTCTATTGGTTGCCGCTCGCCCTGGAAGTACTAGTGGTTGACCAGTTTGAGCGGAACCGTAGTCTTCTTAGGAATAGTGTGGCGCTCGCCGTGTCGTATTTATCCCATTCCCTTTTTCAACGCTCCAACGTATGATGCCTTCCGCAGGATCTGAACGCGCTGGCAAAACTCATCGACGGGGTCCACTTCATTAACTTCCTGAAGGGAATAAATAAGTGAGCCCCGCGTGAGAGCCACCTCCTGAGGTTATTCCGTAATCGCTGGGACCGGCAGAAAGAAGTGAAAGCGGTCAACCCAATTCGGAAGACAGCGAGTAATGAGAACGGTCGGGTCCTTACCTATTATAGTGCCCATGACGATGCTGTCGTTGTGAAGAATTTCCCAACTTGAGATGTTTCTTTTTCGCTACTGTTGTACGTTACCGAAGCTTCCTTGGTAGACGGATCAGCGACGAACTAAGCCTCAACCTAATCCCAGTGACTCTTCATATCGACAGCTGGACTCCTCCTTAGGGTTCGGTTCTCTAAGGAAACAACCGGCCGACAGCACACACCCCCAGCGCAATACCATACCTCGATGACGTACCGTTTTTCAAACGCAAAATCGTCATCACCACGGAAACCTTCTTCTAATCACGATGTGCCTTGCTTCATGTCGCCGCAAGACGGATTCTGGTTGCGTCACCTCCGTCAACTCACGCAGACTTCCTTGGCACAGACCTCCCCATCCCCCCACCCCTTCTGATATTGCCTGAAATTGTTAACCAAGTGCCCAGTGTTTTCCAGAGACGATTCACCCCCCTGTCCCCCCGTCTGTCTCTCGTTCGTGCAGAGAGGGCAGGAAGGCCATGAGGCGCACCAAAGAGACCCAGACAAGGCCGACGCGCGACAAGAAGTCTGACAGCAGGCCGGGGACCGGCACTGGAGGCAAAAAGAGGCCCCCAAAAAAGACCAAGGTAGGTATCTACCAGAAAACAAAGAAGCATGGATAAAGGTGTTTTCTTTGTCGCTGACCACAAGAATTATCTCACCATCACATATATGCGCAGTTTTGCTCTATCTTCCTAAAGAGAAAATCAAGAGCAAAACGTGGTTCATCTGGTTTCCGTGCGAGTTTTTCAACAGGGCAGGTTTACTCATCAACACACGAATTATCTGAACGTTGCTCCGTTTCTGTTTCCAACAAACCCAATTTCCCGCTGTCATTGGACATCCGTGCAGTGTCGCAGACACTCGGCGGCAGCTTGTTCGCGCTTTCGTGCGCTGACTCTCTTGCTGCACGTTTTTGACAAGTTGGGGTTTTAGTCCACCTGTCGCGGAAAGACATTCCTCCCCCCAAACGACAGCACCATATCCGAGATGTATAGCTTAGAGAACAGTATGCCTTACTCTCTCGGCTGATGGAAGGATGTGCGTACAACATGTGGTGCACTTCACGTAGGGATCTAAGACCGAGATCCTTCCGCTAGATTTGCGCAACAGCATCGGGATGGCCTCCGCCCCGAAAAAGATACCCACCCTGGGGTATATGCTCCGCACGGTGAGTGATCGTCCTTCACAGCCGTGTGCTGAGAAACAGAAACTACTTCACGCGATAGATAGAGTGCATGAACGTCATCTACATTAATGGTCGAGAAAAGCATGCTTCGGCGTACACCGAAACACCTCTAGGGATCTAGGCGCAATCGTCGACGTATGTTCTGGTGTTCGCTTTTAAGAGGCGCCACTGCGGTAGTATACCGTTGTGTTTGCCCCCTAATTTACGTGCTTCGAGCTATCCTTGAAGAGATTCCGAATGGCCCAGCGTACTCGCTGTACATTGCACCACTACCGTCTTCATTCATCGGCCTGGGAAGAAGTTTGTACGAAGTAGTGTGGAAACTACACCACAGCTGTACTTGAATGCTTTATACTCCGAATAACTTGATATCGAGATGAACGCCTGCTTTGCCCGCGTTGACGAATTGGGTAAATACAGGTGTTAGACATGATGCTTGTGTGGAGTCGATCGCTAGACACGCCGGAATCTTTGTGCAAGAAGCCGGGGGGAATGACCGAGATCGCCATCAAGCACTTCCAGGTGTTCCCCAATATGTCAGATATCGAAACCCACCCCGTCGTCAACCAGGCGGTATATGCGCACAACACGTGTTGTTTACTTCACTACTTTCAAAGAACATGGAATAGGTGCCGTGCCTATCGACCGGTCTTCTCGTTCACGCCGGTGCGTTCTTGACTTCCTGTGTTTTCAGCTCCTTCACGGCATGGAGAATACAACGAACTTGATGCTGGCGCAGTTCGCGGCCGGTCTGGTTCACTTTGCGGACTACAAACGATGCAAGGTCTTGGGAGATTTACTCGGAGTGGACGACCCTGCCACCGGACCCCCTTTCGATCACCGATCGGCCTTGTTCCTCTACCGGTTCCTGGCGGAGCTAAGAACGGTTAGCTCCAGTAGAACATCCTCGCCAAGGGATATAATTTGGAGGGTTCGCATGGTATGCTGTGCTACGTCTTGGAAACATGGTCCTATTCTCTGTGCTGCGGTCGTGTATCAATTGCAGTCGGCATACCTTTGAGAAACTTTGGGCTTCATTGCGACCTCGCCACTTGACGGCCGATGCCAACAGATCAATTCGTCATTGTGATTAAACGTGTCCCAGGCAACCTCTGCAAAGAAAAGGATTGTGTTTGCAACACCAAACAACCCCTGCCTTTCTTTCCCCCGCTGCCCTCCCAATCGTTTTCTCTCTTTCAGGTCGGCGTTTTCAGCGAAGACATCCTTCGAGAAAGGATTATCAAAATTAATCTCAATAAAACCGCCGTGAGTGACGACCCAGAGCAGCGCTAGAAAAAAATCGTCGACCCATGCTTCACGATTTGTGCGCGATAAAGGCGGTGCGCGTAGACACTTGTGGTCTCCAATACTAGTTCTCAGGGCCTACTCTGGATGTCTAGTAAACCATACACCAGTTCCTCAGGAACCACCACGTTGGTATCGTCAGTACATGACATATCACCTAGTATAACAAGGCAACAAACACCCATAGTCTTTGCCTTTCGCACCTCACGATTCTGCGTGCGTTTGTACCCTCACTATGCCACTTTTCCGCCGCATTCGATGTACCCAATTCACAACAACTAGCGTGATGTTTGGAACAACCACAGGCAGCGCGGGCGGCAAGAACCGTTCTAGGACCGATGCTACCACAGGGATCCCCACCGATGACGGTCCTCATCCCTTGCCTTCAGGTGGGGCGAAAAATTCGGCTGGTGACGGTTCTCAGGCCATGCTCCCACAACAAGAACATTGACGTTCGAGAACACCGATGGTCTGTTTTCGGTGTTAGGCGGAAGGTCATCCTGCGAAGTGTGATATTTGCCGCACTCACATCGCCCCCCACGTGACAACAATATTTTTCTTTTGTCACCCCTAACACGAAACTGTTTCTAACCACCTTCGAACATGCTTTGCACTCTCGCACATGGGCTCACTTTCCATTGTTTTCACCTGAACACCCCCTTGCCCTACTGAAACGTTCTTTGTAGAATATGCCGGGATGGTGATGGTTCCTCAAGCAGGCCCTGGGATCGGAAGGGAGGAACGTTAATTGCAGTCCAGGACCATGAGACGGAGGAGCTAGTTTATCCCCCATGCCTCTCTCTCTGCATGTGCCTTTCCATAGGTATTCATAACCGCTTTCAAGCATTCGATGTTCAGATGTAGGTCTGTGTGCTAGAAAATCAGGACTGCTTGTTTGCGATGCTTGTCACTGCAGGACGCCAACAATCTGAACTCGAAAAGGGCGCGCCCCGGAGAGAGAGGGAAGCGAGGCAACACCATGCCCCCAGGGGAGGTACCGCTAGCGAAACAGGTACGAGTGCCATGAGTTGTTGTGTGCTGGCATGTACGAGGTGCTATACAACGATCGCCACAGGGCATGTACGAGTTTCGGCACATGCGTCTTTCTTCGACAACGTCGAGGCTTCTGTCAGATTGACTCTCCTTTTGCTTATTCACTCGCGCTTCCTGTGGTTCTGGTCCATTTCCCAACGCTTGTCTTCCAGACCGTGGAATTCGATGAGCTGTTGCCGCAAGCGATGTTGGCGTGGAGGGGAGTGTGGAAACACCGTGTATCGCATATCCATCTAGCCTTCGACCGCTACAGCTCCACGTTTCAGGCAAGACCTCTTGGTGCGAAGTTGAACGAAATGGACTGACTCTTCGTAGCTGTCTTCCAGCGCATCGTGGCTCTCTCGGGTACTATCCACTATCCACTCGCATGCGTTACTCAGCCTGTGAGTACGAACATCTATTCCCTTGGTCTCCTGGTTTGTTCTCTCCGCGTACCTCTCATGTGGTAGGTTCAGGAGTCGATACACATGGCCTAAAGGAGAAGGGTCATGAATGGAAAGAGCGTAGGGATAACTCTTTGATCACAACGGTTTTGCCATCGAAAGTAAAATCCACCAGCTGTCTTCGGTCGTCGCAGTGAGGACAACGATCTCCACACCCGTATCTATTGCAGGCCCGCTACAGTATCTCGAAGATACGACGTCTCGCAACCGATAATATGAAGTTTGTCGGTGACAGGTTACGGAGGAAATGCGGTTCGGAACGGACGATGCGCCAAAGGCTAGAGACGCGGTCATTGTGCAGGTCGGAACGACCCGTAAAGGATTGACCAATGTCATTGTCGTGGGGGGTTGTGGTACCTGGGGCTAGAGTACGCAACAGATTTTCTCAATATGACTATCACAGGGCTTCGCTGGCATCAGGACGGTCTGCTTACTTGGCACTCTGGTGCTGCAGCTGCTACCGCTGTTGCTGCCGTTGTCTCGCGACTGCCGTAGCATTTATCGTAGTCGTCGCCCAAGCAACACCCTTGTGCCCGGAATGGCTGAGCGAGAATATGCATGCATCTATGTGTCGTGTTCGATTTCTCAAGCTAAGCAAGAGCCTGGTGGAAGGAAGGCAGAGAAGAAAGCTCTATGACACTATGCGCCAGGCAGAGGGTGCCACCCAGGAAGGCACCGGGGAGCCAGGCATGATGATGAGGCTCGCAGAGGGAATGTCAAAGGCCCAGGAAGATCGGCTTGACATACCGGCTTATTCTACGGCACCACCACAGGTAACACCGTTGGAATATAGCAGCTGGAAGATATCCTCAGCGCCGACTTCACTCGTTATTTTATAGTTCTAAACATCCAATTGTTGCTTTTCTCATGGCCAGTCCGAGACGATAAGTCCACTTTCTTTCGGCCCGACGATGTTCTACTGATGAGATCGAGCTAAACCCTGAACCAAACCCAGCCGTGACCGCAACAAGCACGAAATGCAATTGTTGATAGTAGAGTGAAGACGTTTCGTTTCGTCCCACACCGTACTCAAAGGGTATGGGGTGGGTTCACCAACAGTCCTCCAAAACCTTCTCCCAGAGACTTTCAACGGTGTTTGCACGACAAGGATAAACTTTGTGCCACACAACGTTAACTCCGTGCCCTTTCTTCATTGGCCTTCGGCGAAGCTTTCCAAGGTAGCTGATTGGTGGAAGTCCGCTTAAGAGCATGTTTTACGTGAGGAACGGGGTAGCTTTCCTTGACGTCAATGGCGTCTTGCTCGAATTTGCGTTCCTGGTGACACGTAGAGTGAGCAACAGTCCGCCTACTTCCATTGGCAACTACGGTGGTTGTCGACTGGATGTCATATACAAAAAAAGTGTCTGCATCCATACGGTGGATCATTCGAGTGATCATGCCAGGGTAAGGTGGTGACGTCGTGTTACGAAACGGTGACCAGCGTGACTAGCCATAGAGACCAAAAGTGGCAAGCAAATCTGCTGCGTACTGATCCTAAAGCACCGGCTTGATGATCAATTGGTTCCGGGATATCGGTCTTACAGACAGCGATGAGCTGGGTGGTGGAGACGACCGGGGAGGCGACCTGCATGAAGGACTACGTCAGCATGAACGCCCCCGTGGTCGAGCTGCTCTCGGAGGAAGATCTAGCGCTCGCCCTGAACTACCTCAATCCTACCCTGTCCAATGTGGACGTGAGAAACATGTACAAGAAAGGTGAGGCCGGCCAAGGGAGTACTCGAGCGACAAGCTTATATGCAGTCGAGTCTGGCAACAGGCAGAGCCCCAGGACAGGCTTATCGCGCATGTTTTACTGTGGGAGATTTTTTTCATCACCGAGAAGTCCGTGTTTGCTCCGTGGATATTTCACCTGTTGAGGGCGCTCTTGCCCTGCACTCTACGTTTACGCCATTTCGTGCAGCACGAACAGACGGGAAAATCTTTTCGAAATGCACCGATCGGAAATCTCATGTTCTGCTCCACTAACCTCCGCTACAACATTCACGAAAGAGAGGTGGGACGCTAGGGTGGATCCCGGAGGCTCTTGTTCGAAATCGACCATCGAGAACTACTCTAGATACGAACAGGCGGCTAACAAGACCGAGATTGATCGTTGAATCATCAGTTCTCCTTGCAACGTCTCCATTCATTGAGCACCGTTGGCCGAATGCTTGTACGAAGACCAATCATGCTCCAAAGGTTGGTGAAGATCATCACCATCAACTTCGTTCTCACTTCGACACCACTCCTCACCACGCCTCCCCGTAGGTTGCAAGATCCAATGGGACAACACGCACACACTGTTTAGGGGGCTATGGGCGCAGGAGGAGACGGATGTTGGCAAGAAGTGCGTATGTCCAATGAACTCCGATCGTGATACGAGAAACGTGTGGAAATGCTTCCGTGTTACGCGTATCGCGCTGGGATGGCCTGTGGAGCTTGTCTCGCCCAGAGAATAAAAACGACGTTGGGACTGAATAACTGTTGTTGTTGTTATTGTTTTTTGTTGCTGTTTTCTGTCTTTATCCCGTTGTTGCTGTTGCTTCGTTGACAGTTTTGCTGAGATTCTGTGGACGTTGCTACAGAGGCCATCATCAGCCAAATGTTCACGTCACGAACGAATACACATGCCGGTAGTCGTTTCCGACGCTGCCGACCTCAGGTATTGGGTGCACATGGTCCATGATCTGACACAGTGGGCGGTACCGTTTCACATGAACGACTTCAAGAGGGAGGAGATCGACAGGGAGGTATGTTTGTTCTCCCTTTAGGACAGTAGAAGAAGTCGGTCATACGCTATTTTTGGCCGAAACGCAATATTTTTGTACACTACTGGTTTGGGAGCACCTGTCCACAGCCGCAGGGAAGATCGACAGAGGAAAAGGCGTATTTTTTGCGTGGTTGGAGGTTCCGACTCTTTGTTGGGCTCTCTCTATCTCTCTCTCTCTCCCTGTGGATTCTCTCTCCATGAACGTGTAGGAATGTCGGGAGAATTGTCAGAACTTTGACCGTCGACAGCACCTCGGAGTTGCATCCCAACGCTGCTAGCACGAACAACAGTACCTCGGATTTGCATCTCAACGCAGCTAGCACGAACAACTCACATGGTTCTCGAGCAACTTTTTCCTGTTGATGCGTTCCATTCTTGACGCGCTTTTTTAACCGTGTGGTTGCTACCACGTTCTGCCGTTACAGGCGTTTGTTGAGCTCTGCCTAAGCTCAAAAATCTTGGATAGTAGTCCTCTGGCTCCGCATTTTTTGGCCCAGCCGCAAGCACTGTGGGACGGGTGGGACAACCTCGTTGCTGCATTGGGGAGAAAGGTCTGTTGTTGGTCGCAGTCAGGAATTCTGAATTGTCTTGAGAGTGTGTCCCACGTTATTATCACGAAGTATACCAATGACAACGGGCACAGAGGCAGGCGTCCGCAGCGAGCCCCACGGCAAGCCATTGCAACCCACATGCGGTTCAAGAATACTTAAGCACGCTGATTT